TGTAGCTTGAGCCGTCACGCGTGACGCGCATTCCCAGAAACTTGCTTACTTCGCCGAGATCCTTAATCGCGAGTGTCGATAAGCTCACAAAGAAGCGATCGACAACTGCAGTGCTGGTGCCGGTCACGAGGAGATCGTCGACGTATGCTCCTACGACGACGAGCTCGGCGCCTTCATTCTTCCAGTACAAACACATGTCCGAGCAACAACGTAGGAAACCGGCATCGGTGAGGCTTGAGTGTAGCAACTGGCTCCACAGGCGTCCCGCCTGCTTTAACCCATATAAGCTCTTCTTGAGCTGCAACACGACACCGTTCTTGTCCTTTGCTCCTAATTGCTGCAACGTCGTGTCGTTCACCTCCATGCCGCGTGGTACTTGAAGCAGGATCTCGAGGTTCGCTTCCTTATTTGCGCGAACGTAGGCATTTGGAATGTCCCCGTGTTTGGCTGGCACGTTCCATGTTGCTGCAAGCGCGATAATAACCTTCACGGTCGACATGTCCATGACGGCCGCGAAGGTGAGCTGGTAGTCGATGCCAAACACCTGTTCATTGCCACATGCGACCAGTCGAGCCTTGTAGCGCTCCAGGTCGCCATGTGCGTCGGTTTTTGTTTTGTAAACCCACTTGCTATGCAGCGCGTTGCTACCGGCAGGGCGCTTGATCACACGCCACACATCGTTCGCTTCAAGCGCTGCGATTTCTTCACGCATCGCTTTTTCCCAGTCGGGACGCTTCGTGCTCCGCATTGCCTCGCTGTAGTTGGTCGGATCACGTTCGTACAGGTGAGCGGCGATGTCGATCGCGCTTGCAGGCTCCTCCTGAGCTGCAGACACTTGAGCACGCTTCGATGCGCTTCGTGTGCCGTGTGCTGTGCGCGTCCACTGCTTCTTTTTCTTCGTAGCATCCTTCGGTGCTTGCGCAATCGCACGTTCGTCCTTATCTGCGTCATCGAGTACGCGCTGCAACCGATCGTTCTGCTCGTCACTGAGCGTTTCAATGTTCTTCACGTATTGTGTGACGACGACGACGTTGTCTTTCTTCAAAAACACGCGGTACCCCTTAGTTTCGTCGCTACGACCGACGATCACTCCCACTTGCGCTCGTTGCTTGAGCGAGTTCTTGCGTGGATCTTGATACACCGTGCAGATCGACCCGAACACAACGATCTCGCGCAGGTCTGGTGTCTGCTTCGTCAGCATCTGTAGTGGCGACGCGCGGCGTGCATTCGCACTGGTTGGACTTCTATTCAGAACGAATGCAGCGTATTCGACGGCATCTCCCCAGAAATACAGCGGCAAGCGGCTTGCAAAAATCATCGACCGCGCCATGTTAAGCACAGTGCGATGCATTCGCTCCGCCTTTCCGTTTGAAGCCTGGTTGCGAGCTTCACTCTTCTGTCGCTCGACGCCTGCTGCCTTGCAAAACAGATCAACGTTCATGTACTCGCCGCCTCCATCTGTGCGAAGCACATTGATTCGGCAGTCGAAACGCTTTTCGAACCACGCAAGGAAGTGTTCGAACTTCTTGGCGGCCTTGTCCTTGGTAGGCGCGAGAAACACGCGGCAGTAGTTGCTGTAATGATCGATGAAGTTGACCATATAACGGTTCTTCAGGCGGTCGGCGGGGGTCATCGGTCCTTTGAGATCCGAACAGATGACACCGCCGATACGATCGATCGGGCTGTGCCTGCCGCTGTCTTTCCGCGATTGTGCATTTCGTGTTTGCTTCGCCTCAGCACAGGTGATGCACGTGAGCCGTTTACGGTCGGTGAGCTCGATGCCGCTTGCCGGATCCTGCGCCATTCGCTCGATGGTGTCGAGAGCAATATGACCGAGTCGTTCGTGAAAGTGCATTAGTGTCCCGCTTTGCACATCCTGTCGCACGGGCACCGTCACTTCTTCGGTGATCGCCGCCAGTAACACATCTGTAGGCGACTGCTTGCGTCCCGTTTCTGGCGACGTTGCCACGTAGAATACGTTGTTGCGCATCTGCACGTCAAACGCTACGTCGCCTGTGTCTTGGTTGGCGAGTGATAGCTGCTGGTCGTCGTGCACGAGACTGTACCCTTTCTTCACGAGCTTGCCGCATGACAGGATGTTGCGAGAGAGCAGCGGCGCGAAGTAGACATCTGTCACGCGAATCATACGGGGCTGCTGGTCGACAAACACGCGAATGTCCACACTACCGACAAGCGATAGGCGCAACGGCTTACCATCTGCGACAATGCACTCTTGGTCACATCGCTTTGCGTTAATCAGCAGTCGATGTCGTTGACAATGTGTCGGCTGGATCCACAATCCAGGATCCACACGCTGTTGTCACTGCTCGGGTCTTCGTCGATCGATAGAGTGAGGTTCGCACCATCGGTGCGACTTCCACTGGGTCTTCCAGTCGGCTTCTTCTCTTTTCTTCGGCAGTCGCGCTTTAGATGGCCGACTTTACCACATCCGTGGCAAGTGCGCGTCTCCTTTCGTGGCTCGTCATCGGCCACGTGCGACACGACGTCACGACCAAATGAGCGACTTGAACGCGCATCGAGCTCGATCGATTGGGCAAAGTGAGCGAGTTCTTCTGCATGCGCGAGGTGGTCGGCGCGCGAGGTGTCGTACTTTGCCATGAGGACAGTGGACAGTTCGGCCGATGCATATCGCACGATGTTGTCCAGCACGTTCGAATCGGCACCTCCGCAAGCGTCGCTCACCGCCACGAGATAAAGATAGTGTTCTGGCCACGTTCGCTTCGAGTCCTTTTTCGCTGTAAACAGCCTCATGGCCTGCGACGATGTGATCGTTTTACGGAATGTCTGGAGCATCTTTTCCATGACGAAGTGCAGTGTCGGCAGCACCGACCACCAAGCGTCAATCTGCTTGTTAAAATAACGTTCTGCAGTACCCGAGAGATACTGCCCGAGGACGTCAGTCTTGGTATCTTCGGTCCATAGGAAGCCGCACGCTGCTTGAGCCATGTCGACTTGTCGCCAAAACAACTTACCCCAATCGAAGAATTTTGAGCCTAGACCTTGGTAGAGCTCGCTGCCATCAAACTTCCGGATGGCGAGCTTGCGCTGTCGAGCATCGGGCACACGGTACTTCCCCACAGGCACGTAAGCAGCAGCTGGAGGCGGCGCTGCTGCTGGTCCCACTTGAGGAGCTTGTGGCTGCCCGAGCGGAGGCGTGTACTGCGGCATAAGCGGCGCACCGCGCGAACCGTGGTACGGGCCATGTGGCGACGAGGCATTGCGCACTGCCGGCGCAAATCCGAGAGCGTCTCGCGTCATCGTTTCTCGCCCAAAGTCACGCCCGAGCGCGGAGCTGAACATCCCACTCTCAATCGCGCCGCGCATGCGCTCGTCTTCTTCAGTCTTGATCTGCGAAGCCTCCATGCGCATCACACGCTCTTCCAGACCGAGAAGCGCGTTGAGAATCCGTTTGTTGACATCTTCGCTGCCCCTTTCGCGAGCAGCTGTTGCGACGTCTTCAGCAGGTGCAGGAGCGGCCCTTTCGCGGTCGTCGTGCTCCTGAGCCAGGGTGAAGTTGTCGTTGATGTTGTCAGTGTTCATCGTGTTGGAACTTGGGCTCATAACCTGTTCTAGGATACACTTGTCGAGGAGACGGATGAATGGATTCTGTCATTGTCTTAGTTTATTCGTTTCTTGCTACCGTGATTGACTAGTTGTTCTTTTCTCCATCACTCCTATCCACTCAATCAATCATCCACTATGCTGTCCACTCAATCACTAATCTTCCTACATCTCTCTAAGTCTTCAGCCGCTACTTCAACCGTTACTTCAAACTACTTGCATGCTGTATGCTTCTCTCCAACTTCGACACTGCGCTAATCGACTCTCTATGCCATCAAAAAAACATGTGCTGGCCGTGTTGACGCCGGCTCTCACTGGCTCTATCATTTCTAACAGTATCTGCTCAGTATGATATTGCGGATCTGTCCTGTTTAGCGCATTCAACCTGAACTTTTTGGATGCATCCACGGTCACGAAAGGGAGCATTTGATGCGTGTTCATACTTTTTGCTGGCCATAAACGATAGCGTTTTGCTTCATAGGTACTGCATGCGCAAAGAATAACTCGGGGCTTTTGCAACCCCCTACTACAATGAAATGAAATGGAGTCTTGATCTTAGTCGAAGACGATATTGTACCTCGTCTTCGCGAAGATCCCTGGTGTATCAATCGTTCATCCCCAGATGTATATGCTGAGCCAACACAGAGACCCCCCAAATCCTGGAGGTGACATGCCGTATACGGTACAATTGAGTCTACCGATACGCAGCATCGTTTCAGTTCTGTGTATGTATGCAGATGGTAATCGGTACTCGTTTATCAGCTGCAAAAAGCAGTTATGGTGTTCTCCGACTCTTGCATATCAACGAACACCACTTTTGACCAAGTTTTTTACTCTGACGACGACGGCAATTGGAATCTGGTGGCTGGCAGTATATGAAGAGCGCCCATAACGTGTTCATACTTGCCATGAAAGATTGTCATGCTTTGAACAGCCTGACCACATGTGCAATGTCTGAATAATTGACTGCATCGAAAGCTATACTAAATGGAAGCGCCCGATAAAATTTGGTCCCATACACGGACAACCGACAACTTACGCGGGTAACGAGTGATTCTTTCGTTGACACCACACGTACGTGCCATCTCACTCATATGTTCCTCTTCCATGTCACGTTCTGTGGACTGGACTGAATAGTGTGGATGATATCAGGAATGGAATCCACGGCCGACTATTCTCTTGAGGCTGATCAAACTGGAAGAGACACCGTGAAGTGCGTACCAGCTCCATCCGGCACACCATGATGCAATACCAATGGTATCACGAAAACAACCTCCAATAAGCCAAAACTGGAGCCTAGACTTGCAATCAATTTCTGCCACATCAATCCGCAGTTGTTGACGATCGCTCCGCTTGTGGTGATGCCGTCAGAGTGAGTTCGATCATCATTTCTACCACCGAGTATTCGCACCTTTCGTCTACTTTAACTTTCCAGGCACCCGAGATTGGAATATTGAAAACACGCTGTTTTTCGCATCTGACTCATGTTTCTGCTTTGTCATCAGCTCGTTTACGGTCGCCATGGTCGACGACAGTGGGTGTGAAGATATTTGACTACGGGCTGTGGTGCTGTTCTTTTTGCCACTCTTGTCTGTCTCGTACTCGAGAACGAGTGGTGCTCGTCCTGCCTCCATCTCAGACATTTTCGACACTTCCACTGAGGATGGAGACACAGCATATGGCAGCTCGACGAAGTTTCGCTGGAAAAAGTCACTGAACATCGGGACGCACATCTGCGAGTGCTCGAACTCCTGGATATACGGTCGCATCCACTTTGAAAGCAAGTTCACGTGCTTGTTGAATCGATGCCTGGAATCAAGTAGCATAATGGCACCATAATCTTGGCGATGACGAATGCAACGTCCAAGAGCTTGGTTTAGCGCACGGAACGCTTGCAGTTGGTACCATACATGGCCGTTGACTAGATCCACGTCCATGCGGCTTTTCTCGTCTTGGTACTTGCGCTTCATGGACACTTGCAGCTCTTTGAGGCTGGGAAAGGGGATGCCTACGCATAGGACGGCCCGCGCATTGTCGTTAGAGAAATCGATACCCTCACTCACTTTACCGCGATAAACCGCCAAAAAAATCGCGCCTGTGCTCTTCGTCAGTGCTTCTTTGCCATCAGGACCAGCAGCTGCTGCCTCGGAGAATTGCGTGATCGTGTTCTTGTAATCTTCCAAAAGAGAATCGAAACCTTTGCCGGCGTTGCGAGGTTCCGAAAAGATCGTCTTGAACTGCTCGATTTCACCCCACAGCTTGGTTTTTTTCCAACGTGAAACAAGTTTGTTAAGCAGCGAGTAGGACGGAAAGAACATGAGGATACCGCCTGGAATCGCTTGTGAATACTGCAATAGCAAATGACCCATAGAGTCTTGATATCTAGGATTCTGCTGATTGTCGTACGTGGACTGAAGGTCGACGTTGCCAGGACCGTGCATAACGGCTCCGACAAAAACCTGCTTGCGCATATTCACGACGTGGTTCGCCTCAAGGCGAATCGGAAAATCAACACCCAACTCGCCAACAAACGACCCCATGGGGCTCAATGTTCCAGACGTAAGAATGACGCTGCGGGCTTGCCGTGTAATATCCGAGAACGCAACGGCTGCATTCAGGCACCAGATACACAATTTTATCTCCCACTCGTCAACATTTCTTTTAGTAGGAAATCGAGAGCCAGTATCCTCTTGCCATGTTGACTTGGATTTGATCACCACCAGCTTGAAATCGTCAATATACTTGAGACTGTCACGATACATGTAGTCCACTACGGTTAAAATGCTCTGTACCGTGGCCAATGCTAACGCACCCAGAAGGACAGAAGCACCTGTCGGGTTCGCTGCAGCATCTTGAGCAACTTCCGTTTGAGGCTCCCGACTGGATTCTGTGCTGTTGGCCAATACAGACTCGTACTCGCGTACTTCCCGCATGTCTAATATCAACGCATTAATACTGCTTTTCGTAACCCCGGAATATTCTTCAAGCATGGCTAGTGCATCGTCACCATCCCAGACCTTGCTCTTCTCTCCAGCACCTGAAGGCTGGAGAATCGCGTTCGCATTCGCATCAACGTTTTTTAACCAGCGACTGATACCATTGAGCAGCTTCAGCAAGGCATTGTACGGTTTTGGTCGATTGCCGTGCTTGATTACGATCGAAAACGCCTTGATTGATGTCGTCAGACCTTCTGCAGTCACCTCCATACTGGCGCTGGATCGGCACGTATCTTCTACATTGTGTGCCTCATCCAGCACAATAATTGATCGGTGCAGTATGATTCCCACAGCCTCGCGGATCGACGGGTCCAGCAAATAATTGTACGGAGCGAATACGATATTCGCGTTCTCCAGCGCCTCGCGCGAATGGAAGTACGCGCACTCCCGATGTTTTTGCGCCAGCTTGACCAGGTCTTCGATATCCCACACAGGTGACACCCTTCGTCGCAGCTCGTTCACTTTTTTGCGTTTTTTGAAATACGAGCACGACGCGCCTTCGAGTGCCAGTCGACACTTTTCGTCAACTTGCGCTGGATCTTGATTCACTTTGCAATTGATACACATCTGACGTTTCGAGCCCAGCACACATGTCTTCAGCTGCTTCATCGGTGTTTCAGAGTCTCCGGGCATGTCTAGATACGACACAGGGCAGCTCTTTAACTCGGCTACCACTTGCGCCAATTGCGAATGTGTTCGCGAGCAAAAGTAGATCCGCGGTGGCACTACCCGCTTCCTTTTCAACGTGCTATTACCAGCTCCGTCGTCAAGTTCCTCCTGTGTCTCAGCTGCTGCTTCCGCTATAGCAGCAAACGACTCGGGCAACACTCTCTTCCTCTTGGTAATAGAATTATAGTCGGCGTTTGGTTCTCGTTTCCGGGTGCTTAGCCATCCTTCGTCGCGACTAGGCTGTGTAGCCACGACGTCTTCATCATCTTCGTCATCTTCTTTCTTCAAAGTGACCTGCGTATCCATTTCATCATCATCATCTTCTTCTTCTTCTCCATCCTTCAAAGTAGCCTGCGTAGCTGTCACGTTCGTCAGCTCCACAGTCAATTGAGTACCATCATCGTCACTCTCTTTTCTCTGCTTTCTGGCCTGTTCAATCTGTTGTCTAGCTGCCATCACCTGCATCTGAGCTTCCAGCGCCCACAATTGCGCCTCTTGGATCCGTTTCTTGGCCTCCTGCTCTCGAAACTTGACACTCGTCTGCTCTCTCTTAGCAGCTGCGAGTTCCTCTCGGTAAACCTGTTTCTGGAACGTCAGACTCGAGCACAGCAGTGCCAGCGTCTTGCCGCTGCCTGTAGGCGACTCCAGCAGCGCGTGTTGCTTGGTCTTGAGCGCTGTCAGCACCTTGTTCATGACCGCAAACTGTGCCGGAAACGGCTTCTTGCCATGTGGAAACTCGACGTTGTAGCCCATGATCATGAACTTGTTCTCACCAGTTGTCGGCGGCTTCTCCTCTTCGCTCATGACTGGACGGCCCGTCGACGTTCGCAGTGCTGCGATGACGCCAAATTCAAGAATGAGCTGAGGATCGAATGGATCAATGAATCAGTTACTGGTTGGGAGACGCAATGTCTGTTACTTGTTCGATTGTTACGTTACAATAGTGGGAGGTGGGATATCCCACTTTGGGTACGATCGAGACCATATCTGATCCTGATCCTGTTCTAGTAGTGGTATCTGCAATGGGTGACTTCGGATCCAGTTCTGAACTCGTTCGGGTAGACCTCGAGCCATGTTTTATACAGCGTCTCGTACTGTCGAGGACGTGTGAGGTGCCATCCGGTTGGATCTTCGGCCCAAAGCACGAAAATAGTCGTCACGGCGCTAGTGATTACAGACATGACCAAAGTGTTGATGCCGTAGCCAGCGACAAAGCAAAAGAAGGCTGAAACGACTTGAGGGTGTAGGAACACGGCGAGTTGCTCCTCCGAGTCAGTCGCATGGACGAGTAGTTGTAGACTGACGTAGGCAGTCAAAACACCCGTGACGATGCTGCTGAGCCAGCATAGATTGCCAATGAGGTGGTCGTTTACAATAGCACTCCAGCCCTTGGCTTCGAACAGCTTGAACACGTGACGACTTGCCCTCACGAAGCTGTAGTTATAGCAGCCGACGTACGAGAAGGCGAAGCGGTTGAAGCACTCGATCCAGCTCTCAATGCTCGAAACGAGACGCGATAGCCACGAGAAGAGGCACACGAAGCAGCAGTTACCACTGCGACCAGCGAGCCACGTTAAAATGTGCAAGAGCCATACCACCGTCTCCAGAATTGCTACAATGAGCGAGCCCAAGCAGATACTGCCCAGGTTCAGCGTCATTGCACGTACCCATGCCTCAATCGTGATACACGGTGCATTATTCGCGGTTTTCCATGCAGCGATAGTCCCTGCGGTCGTGACGCCAATGACGTTGCGCAACACGAAAGTGATCCAGAAGTAGGTGAGCAGCATAAGGCAGAGCACCACGATGATGGCAGCGGGCTCGTACTCGAGGTCACAACGCTCTTTCGTGCACAAGAGATCGTCGAGCTGAAGGAAGCCGTAGTGGAATACGACGCCAAGACTGCTGACTACCCATACAATGGTCCAGCTAATCTGCACTCCGACCATGACTATCGCCACTATGATAGTCATTGGCAGTCGGAAGACGGCGTGACCTGCCACTTTCAGGTGTGCTGCAGCAAACTTGATCCTCTTGTGGATGTAGCACGTGTACAGCATGACGAGTAGTGCTAAGAGACCAAAGACCATGGCCGCTAACCAGTACCATCCCGAGTTGCTGACGAGAGCTTTCTGCATGAGCAAAATAGTGGCTACGACATTGAGCGCGATGATGGTAACGAAGGTGACCCAAATGAGCACCTCCGCCAACAGTACCATGACAGCAATCCAGATGATGGACATCCCGGCGGCTGCAAGAGACGACAACCCGATGATGTGCAACATGAGCTCGACGCCCGACGATTTTGACAGCTCTGTCAGTCGCGTTGCATCGATCAAGTCGTTGCCGTAGTTGACTGCAAACGCGACCGTGATCACTACAACTGCTAGGAACGGGATCAGACAGAAGATGTCGTTGCATTTGCGTGTACCCGTAGGGTATGCGCTTCTAAATGGAGAAGCCAGTGGCTGGTACGTTCGAGATGGCGACTTGCCCTCCGTCCAGGAATGGTCTAGACTCGAAATGACGATCGAAGATGCCATCAAGGCCTGGACCAATGTCCTCGGGGTAAGGAGGTGAAATGGGGAATGAAGTGCTAGTGTAGGCTGAGGCGACGTGACAGGAACTGATTCCGCATGGACTACCGGGTGCATGGATGTGTATAGGTGGTAGCAAGCGGAGCACTATTGCCATCCATGTTCGAGCTAGTTACCCACAATTAAAAGCTACAGAGAAGACACGGGGCGTAGATACTTTAGCAGGCACTTGACTTACTTGCCTTGTACCCTCAATTCGACGCATTCGAAATCCGTCCTACTGTGCTGGTAACACAGCCTGACGTTGGCTCATGCGACGAGGTGATTATGTCCGTCCTGTGTATGCACTTGAAGCAGACTGCGCGCGCAGTCGTCTCACCATCGTACCATGTCCATATTACTGCCTCGCCTACCATTTCATCGGCCGCGGTGCAAAAATCAATGCTGCATGGGTGTACATTGCTGCGTGTTACACTTTCGCTGTGTTTTATTTCCTGTGGTCGTGTGTCGGTATCGCACAGGTGACGATCACAGTTCGTACTTGGCGCACCAACAGCCGAAACACTCGTCCACATTTCAATCAGGAAGGGTTTCTGCTTGATCAGGATATGTCAAATGAGCATTTTGCAAACACCGGTGTCTCTTAACGCGATAAATCCCATCTCCGTTCGGCTTTATGAACACTTGGAGCAGCTTGATGCGTGGCATCGAGAGCAACCTGTACGATGTTTACGCTTAATGCAATCAACTACACGACAATTCAGAATCGTACCGAAGCGTCGGCTGTCATTTAATGATCCATTCTCAGATTCACGTCCGCATGTTGTAAATTCTGGACATCGTGGTACGGGAGCATTTTTGTCATTTTTGTGCCTTGCGAAATCCATGCTCCTGTTTCACAGTAGTAATCTTGAGCATTTTGTAAGGTCGCAAATAGGATAAGTCAAAGTCGTGGCACGTGCGGAATCTCCCGACTATTTGCTCTATGATCGAAGTAATTTTTCTGGAAATAATTGAGCGAAAATTTGAAAGATTCACAATGCGATACGACACAATCGGCGCTTGGAGTGGCATCATAATTTGTATGCAGCACAAATTAAATTGTACGAACAAAAGCACTAATCTTTTTAGCCGTACAAAACGTCAAGTATCATTGCGCGGGTTTTGCGGAAGAAGCGCCTTGCATTTTTGTAATGCAACGATACAAATTGAGCAAAGTGGGTTTGCCGTTATGGTGCACAGGTCTACAATCGATTATTTGTATTTCGCATGATGATATGCAAGCTTCTTTGCGATAATCTTCAGTAACACTAAAAAGCTTTGCAATCAATCGTTTCACTCTGCATCATCATTGTCTTGCTTTGTTTGCTTTCACAAGAGCATACTACTTTAATCTTACCGACCTTTTGGCAGTGACAACACGCAAGATTATGGGCTGGCAAATCGGAAGTGGCAATACAGCAATGTATCGATGCAATAATGCATCAATGGTTCAAATGCATCAGTGCTACAAATGCTCGAGATGACAAAGTGAGATCGATAGTCGTCACTCGTCAACGATTGAGCAAACATAACGCTATCTGGATAAGAGACTTTCATAACATTGCGCTGTATCGCGAACCGAGTTTCGAAAGAAACTATGCTACCTACGACGTGTTTGTTCGGTTCTGTAACGGTGTGCTCATCGCGCTTCGCTGCGCTGCAGGCGATGCCACCGATTGTTGGCTTGATCGTCTAGCCTTCTTGACGGACCGACGCGAGTCACTCGTGGGACTATTCATGCTGGGGGACTTTGGATACCCCACCGTCGGTGTCACCATCCCAGGCGGGGCCATCACGGTGCCTTGCTCGTAAATCTTTGGGTTGATTGTCACACTCTTTGTCGCGTCGTTCGTCTTGTAAATGCCCACAAGTCGGTCCGCGAGCTCAAACATGTTGTTGCGCAAAGAAATGATGATAAACTGCGCATTGCGTGTGCGCTGCTTGATGTAGTTGCCCACAATCGACACGTTTTTAAAGTCCAGTGCTGCATCGATTTCGTCCATCACATATAATGGCGTTGGTTTATAATGGTGTAGCGCGAACACAAGAGCCAGCGAGGCAAGGGTCTTCTCTCCGCCTGATAGGTTCGAAATGTTTTTCCAGCTCTTCTTCGAAGGCCTCACGCTGAACACGACACCTTCGGAGAACGGATCCAATGAATCCACAATCTCCAGCTCCGCATCACCACCAAGTGTAATCATCTGATACATCTCCTTTAGTTTTAGCGTAATGATGCGGAAACCTGTCATGAACTCCTCCAGTCGCTTGCGGCGCAGCTCATCGTACTCGTGGCGCTTCGCGTCACGCAGCTTTGTGGCTTCCTCCAACTCTACAATGCGCGCCTTGTATTCCTCTTTTTTCTGCTTATACTCGGTCAATGCACCCATGTTCACATTTGCCTTAAGCTCGTCACGTTGCTGCTCCAACACGGAGATCTCATACTTCATTTCCTCCTTGCTGTACCGGGATAGTGCGACAGCCTCTAGTAATGGAAGCTCTTCCAACGTCACGTCCATGTACACATCTTCCTCCTCATCACTGTCCTTGTCTTCATCCTCTTCCTCCATTTTCTCCTCCGATGCATCCTCTCGGTCAGCACTCTTGCTTCCCTTCTGACGCTTCCGAGCGGGAAAATCGGCATCATCCTCGAAAACGCCTGCATTTTGTTCTTGCTCGGTGACAAACGCTGCATGAAGAGACGCGAGTTTCGTCTTCCAGTATGATTCTTTCTTGGCATTCTCGTCCAGCATTTTCTCGCAGTCTTCTAAGCTGTTAGACAAGTCCACTTCTTTACTTGCCATCCCGTCGTGCTCTTTTTTCAGCTTCCTGTACTTGGACTCTTCTTTACGGAGTACTTTCTCCTGTGCAGTGACCTGCTCTTGAATCGTCTCGCACTTTTGAAGAACCGCCAACGCTTTCTCTTCCATCGCAGTAATTTGCTCACGAGTCGTATCAATCGTGTTCCCCACTGCTCCCAAATCCTCCTTGATCTTTTTGAGTACCTGCTCGTTCTTTTCGGTGTTTTTCTGGCTGCTCTTGAAGTCGACTCGAATTTTTGTCATTTGTTTCGTTTTCTCCGAGATTTGCTTCGTAATCTTCTTTGCCACGTCCTGCTCCTTACGCAGCTTTTCACCCCCTACATCAAGGATCTGATCCTTGATCTTGACTAGTTCAGCAGCCATTTTATCCACTTTCATCTTCATCGTTGTGTACTCAGCATCCTTCGTGGTCTTTTTCTCCTTCAGCTGCTCGACTTGCTTTTTCGCATCAGCGGAGAGCGTCGTTTGCTTTTCCAAATTACTCTTGTTTTTCGTGTAATCTTTCAGTCGTGTCTTAGTAGCTTTAATGTCCAATTCAATCTTGGGCAAGTCGTTCTCATACTGCTCAATTTGGCGATTAAGCTGCTGTAGCTCTTTTTCAAGCGAATCTTTCTCGTCACGAATTTGTTCCAAGTCAGTCCGCAACGACGACGTCTCCTCTTGCAAAGCCCGAATCTCACCTTCACTCAGACCAGTCGCAAGTGTACTTGACATGCCACCACTGCGGGCTCGTTTACCACCACCCGACATTGCACCGGACATCTCGACCAGCTGTCCGTCCAAAGTCACCACACGATATTTGCACTGGCGTCCTTGGAAAGCAATCGCCGAAGCTTCGTCCAAGTCCTTAGACACCAGTGTGTCACGTAGGGCATAGTAAAATGCCGGCAGGTACTTGTCATCATTCACCTTCACCAAGTCGAATAGACGCGGCGCAATTTGTCCGGAAGGAGTGCTTACGCCACGGAAGTGCTGCGTATACTTCGACCTAAGATAACCCAGTTGCTCCAAAATCAGGAACGTAGTGCGGCCCAAGTTATGTTTGCGCAGGTACGCGACGCACGCTTGTGCCCCCGAAGTTGTCTCGACAACCAGATTGTTTAACGCACCGCAAGCTGTTGATATGGCGACGTCGTACTTGCCGTCAATCGCACCAAGATCACCCAGGCGACCGAATAGCCCAGCATTTTCGAGAGGCATACCTGGCTTGGATGCGTCAAGCAGTTCCCGAAGCATACGGTTCCTAGTTGCGTGCGATTGTACCGCACCAGAAGCTTCTTCAGCCTTTGTTCGAGCTTCGCGGTACTTTTCCGCGACACTGCTTTCTCTGCGCTTGACGCCATCCAATTCTTGCTCAGCAACGACGATACGGTCCTTCATCTTAATAAGCTTCTCGCGTTTCTCAGCTTGGTCTTCTTCAAGCCCACGCAAGTTCGCTTCCGACTCGATGATACCACAGGAATTCGCTTCGAGCGCCTTCTTTGCGTTCGTCACAGGTTCTTCCACAAGCTGGATCTCCGTCTCCGTAGTATCAATCGCTGACCGCAGAGCATTCAGTTCAGTCTGGCATGGTTCCATATCCTGCTGGATAGTTTCCATAATGCTACGTAACTTAGCCGTTTCTTCCTTGTGATCATCCAGAATACTCTCCAGCACCTGCTCCTGCTTCGTGAGCTTTGCTTGTAACTTCTCTACCTCTTTCTCCAATTGCGGCACCAGCTCCTCGTTCTCCTGCACCTTTTCCTTGATGCTCTTTTGCTTTTTAATCTCCTTTTTCTGCGTCGATTGCAGCTCTTTCTGTCGCTCCTTGGCGTACTTGAGCTCTTCTCGCAGCTTCACGTCTTGCTTTTCAAAGTCTGCATACTCGGCTTTCGTCTCATCCAGCTGCTTCGCGACGTCATCGTGTTCGCTCTTCACACGCTGATACACAGCTTCCACCGCCTCCAGCTCCTCGCGGTTCTTCGCCATGCGCGCCATCTCTGCCTTGTACTTGGCTTGGAGTTCATCACGCTTGGACTCGCACAGCTCCCGATTCTTTGACGCCTCTTGGATCCACAACTGGTACAAGACGTTCGTCTTCATGTACACCTCCTTCTCCTTGCGCAGGTACTCGAGCGCTTCGGCACGAGGTCCCTCCAAGTGCGCCTTCTCCTTCTCCACCAGCTTGACCCGGTTCACCTTGTCGCCGCGCACTTCGTTGCAGTGTTCCACTTCGTCCCACACGCGCTCCGTCGGTTCCACGTACACATTGGAGCCAATGATGTCTTCCAAGTACTCGAGTAGTCCGTCCTCGTTCGAGCCGTCCGCGCCCTTGCTCTTCATCATGGCGATCTGCTCCACTTCTCCCTGTAAGATCAGGAACCGGTTGTTGTCCAAGTCGATCCCTTTGTCCTGCAGCAGCTCAGTCACGCGCGTGAAGTTGCTCGGTCGGTCGTTGATAAAGTACTTGCTCACGTTGCTCTTGGTCGCCGTGCGCGTGACGCTGAACGCGGACTGCAGCACGACCGTGTAATTCGCTTCATTGTCACCCACGCAAGTAGCAGAAGGAGCAGCAGCGTCAGTCCCGTCCAAGTCAATGATCTCCTGGAAAAAGACCGAGACTGTAGCCATGTCCAAGTCCCGGAAACTCGCCGAGCGATGCACGAGCTCCGAGACTTTCTTCAGCCGCAACTTGGACGCGCGTTTGCCGAACACAAACAGCAGCGCGTCAATGACGTTGGACTTGCCGCTGCCATTGGGGCCCACGACCGCGCTGAAGCACTTGTGGAAGGGCCCGATCTCCACTTGCCCAGCGTACGACTTGAAGTTCTCGAGCCGCATCTTCGTGATCATCAGTCGCTGCACGGGCGCGGCCTTGACGGGCGTGGAGACGGGCACGCGGACGGACGTCGTGGAGACGGCGGGGGAGGCTGGCGTCGCCTCGAGCGCGCTCGGCTCCTCGATCACTTCCAGTGTTGGTTGCTGCTCTCCCTCGGTTGCCGTTGTCGTTGCGTCGTCGACTGTCATGTTGCTCTTCCCCAGCTCTTGGTTTCCTTTCACGCGCTGGTTGCGCGCACTCTAAATTTGTGAAAGTGGGCGCCCGATTGACAGCCTACGCGACTGACTGGATGGCTTCACTCTGGGTGTACATTATTTTCGTACTTCTGAAAAGTCGGAATCCGACGGCAAGGAGTGATGGTCACTCTTATCAGATGCTAAACCATGCGTCAGGACGTCATTCACTTCTTGACTGATTCGTAGCTTCCGCACTATGACCCAAACTAGCAAAGTATGTGCAGATGGAGACGAAGTGCATCCGATTCTCGTATCAAAACAACAGATTCTCTCATTGACGCCATCTCAGGGCGCTGGTGTCACGGTAATAGATGGGACCTCTAGCATATCAGTCCATAGTTGTTGACAGAAGAACGAAGTTTGCTAGCGAGCCATATCGGAGGTGCTTTCGAATCACTAGCGTCCTTTGCATACACGCTAGTCTTAGGGTACACGGAAGCTAGTAGCAAGGTCTTCTGCTGGCAGTGCTTGCAGCCTGGTCTTAGCGCAAAACGATCATAGCAACCACGCAAAGTTACCCGTCACTCCCACTAGACATATCGCTGGTACACTAGGCAGCAATTCTTCTTGATTAGGTTATCAGTGAATGGCAGGGAGATCGGGCTTTCAGCGTTGCCCGGATGCCCGATTGCAAGACGATGTTCACTCGAAGCATCTACGAAAGAGATTCGAGCGTAGAAGACATGTCCTATGTGTAGGAAAGCAAGGGATTTGTTACCTTGGTGGATTGGAGATTCGGCGCGATGTGTCGATTAGCGTCATCCGTTTAGATAGGAAGGCAGAGCGGCTGCGTAGCAAAATGGGTGGTGTGGATGGCTTTGGAAAAGTGTCAGGTAGAAGAGAAGACATAAAATGTGAATACAGAATCTAATCGTCTTTCTACTGCGCATACTACTTCCCACACTATGATCACGAATACACCGAGCAACCCGAAATAGCAAGACAGAACACAGATGCGCTGTACATCGCGGCAATGTTTTTGTCAGTCTACCTGTTCGGTCACACCATCGCCGCTTCTCTTCAACACCGAGTATCAGAATCAGCGTAATGCTGAGCAGCACCATGTTCAGCAATGCGAGCTTGTCCTCTTGCAAAAAGTTCTTAACTCAGTATGCAGCCACCAGATCTGAAACTACTGGAGCTGATTGATCCACGTATGAGAAGCTACACTATCACGTCCAAGAACCCGCCACTTTATACGCTGTGGCACCCATGCATTCATTCAGCGTTGATTCGAGTTCTCTTAGTGGACATATTACCTTGAAGGATTGGAAACATGGCAGTTGATGATCGACCGGGTGGTTTTGCTTGAGGTCGGACATTTGCTCTCTCAGACTTCGCGGCTGCTGCGTTCCTTTTTAGTTTAAGTATTTCTCTGTCAAAGCAAATGTCAGGCCTACGAGACACTGAGACGCCAATCGCACGAGTCTTCACGATATATGTGCAGCTCAAACATAAGATGGAGCACGTGAACGGAAAGTCAGGCCACGTGTTTGGCAGTTCCGAGCATTTGCACGTTAAAAAACTTGTCGACATTAGAAGACGATAGTGTTGTTTGACTCGCGGATTTCTGACGACATATTCATGATCGTTTTGGTTCGCAAAGACTGAGCGTAGGACATCTTCGTGACCTTCGCGACGTAGACGACAAGAAGTGCATAACGACTTGACGTAGTGCGGCTCGTTGTGTGTCCATCTGCGCGCACATCCACTAAAGTCGATGCGTTGGAGGAACGCAATAGCTATTTTGCGGCCTACAGCAAGGGCTTTTGGTACTTTTTCTATTGAATACGGACACCACACAAGTAGTAGACGAGAGGTACAGACGCCCTTGTTCGCAAGTTTATCACCATGTAGGCAAAAAGTGGCGATACAATTTGCACGCGTGTGTGCACTCGTCAAATGTCTTGGAGCACACAACTTAAATGATACAGGGCTAGTCCTCCATGAGCGCTGCCCGGACTTCCTCCGTCGGTTGAAAAATGATCTGCAACGACAGCGCCATATCGCCCACGAAAACGGCATCAGTGATCGTCAAACTTTCGCCGTCCTTTACGAGTTCCCGCAGCGTCTTGTCTAAATTAGGGCTTGTAGCAGCACGAAGAGATGGCGGACCCTGCATAAACAAATTGGCACTGCCTGAGCTGATCGAGGGTTTCGATAGCCGGAAACTGTCACCGCAAAGGTGGTCAATCAAGTTCTGCAACGTCATTGAGTCTGCATCCACGTGCAGTGTCCTCTGCTGCAGGGAGCAAACGACGCAATCCTTTTTGCGGTCGTACTGGAACGTGTGCGAATAGCATCCTGTGGCGCCCATGTGCATGTGGTAATTGTTCATCAAGCGACTGCAATAGCTCATAGCCTTCAGTGCTTCGCTCGCACACATGGCCGCCACCACTGCATTTGTTGACGCGACCGCTGGAATGATGTTCTTCACCACTCCTAGCGTCAGACTGTACGTGACACCAGCAATTCCAAACTGCTCGGCCCGGTCCTTTGCAGCTTGATACACCCACTGCATGTGTACTGGCGAGTCCTTGTCCAGCTTCTTCTCGGGAAACGCTCGCGGCCAGAGCACAATAAAGGCGTAAGCGATGCAGTGCGCCGGTTGTCGCGGTGTCTCTGCAATTGTGCACATGGGGAAGCTCTTCTGAGGCGGAAACGTCTCAAGTGAGCATTCAAAGCAGCTCGTGATGCGAGGGATGATCACTCGCGCCTGGCCACGCAGACCTTCCGTGCCCCCGTCAATCAACGGGATGATAGTGGAAGGATCGACGTCTCCATTCTCGTTCACTTCCGCCAGCGACACGACGAGAGAGTTCAAATACCGACGCGCTTCAATGTTGTCCAGTCCCGAAAGAATCACGTGAAACTGTCGGTAAAAGTCCGCGTCCATGTCCTGTACTTTTCTAAAATGTGGCGTAATAGTCACGGAAGTGTCGGTCTTGCAACATGCTACGCGGTTACGCACGAAAGCTGCTGCACATTCGGCTTTACTTTTCCCCACGTCAGTCTCTCGAAAGAGAAACTGGCGGTTCAAGTTGGTCACGTCAATTGTATCCATATCAAGAATGTCCACTGTCGTAAAGCCAGACAGCACCACGTCTTTTAAGAGCTCACAGCCTAACCCGCCAGCGCCGATAATCAGCACGCGACACTCGTGCTGTAAAAAGCTCAGCGTCTCGTCTCCAGCATCAGGATCGAACTCGCCCAGTGCGACAGCTGACGTCTCGCTGGGGAAGGCAGTGGCATGAGTCAAGAGACGCCGGAGATCCCAATGGCGCTGATCGCTGCGCACCGAGTGCAGAGGAGTTGCTGTCATTGTATAGGAAGCAGTTGGCGGCGAGTTGATGGTGAAGGGAGAAGTGGGTACAGTGAAAGTAGAAGAGGGAGAAGCTGGCGCAAGGTCTTGATGGCTGAGCTTGGGCTTCTTGTGGGGGAGAGACGGCGAGGGAGAGTGCGTGGACAGCGAGGCCATAAACGATGACCGTCTCGTTCAACGAGAAGAAGGAGACGACGGAGCTGAGGAGGAGGAGGAGGAGGGGAGAGACGGGAGGGAGCGCGGACTGGTAGAGAGGAGACGATGGGAATGACGGAGAAGGCCGAGCGGTGAAGCTTCCAGGTCGGAGATTATCTGCTGCGGTGGTGAAAGTGGTGTTGGCTACACTAATTTCGTGGACGACACACCACTTAATGAGGCAGCATGTCGGATGTGTTTTGACCAATTGCATCCTTCACGCGCACATCAGCTTGTGTCCCCTAATCTCAGATCTGGGAGCGTGTGACTCTGGCGGAAGCAGCCCGCGGTGGGACTCTGGCGTCAATTCAGCGCCCTGGATTGTGGTGGCTATTCGCAGTTTATATGTACCTACCACGTCAATTGGATACACTTTGGCGGGGAAGGCAGCACCAGTTGTGCACACGAGAATGAACAGTAAGTCACCTGCAAGCCATCACGGATAGGCATAATTACACGCACAAGTTCCATTTACGTGACGACATCACATGATGCCATAGCACGCTGCAAACAGCTGGTGCTCGAGCAAATTGCAAAGGGCCGTGGGAGGGCGCAAGCTCTGCCGACAGTGTTCCATTGATAATGAAAGGGAATATTACAACCAAAAGGCCTTAGAAGCGTCTCCTTGCAGACCAACTGCGTACAGCAAGAGACCACGGATAGGCATGCTAGGTAGTAATAATCTTCAGACCGGTGACGTTTTTCGATACAGTCATCGGCCTCGCCCCGCTTAGCACCAGAGTAAAAATAAGTGACTTTGGTACTACGTCCATTCCTGATCTTAAAAGCAGTCGGGTGCTTCGCGCGGCTTGATTTCCTCCACAAGTCCTACCTGTGAACCTCATCGCTTCTCCCACGCAGATGGCACCGCTCTCGAGGTGGGACATTTGCGCTCTCTTCGTGGTCGTAGCGCGTACTTTACACATGCAGGCGCGAGAGATTTGCTTGCTCTATTGACACGCACAAAAAAGTGCAAGGTATAGACGTAGATACAATTGTCAAGCAAGCGTCGTCGGGTAGTGAGTGCCTCGGTACTGGATAGTGATGTTGAAGAGCGCTTGCCGTCCAGCACGTGCTTGACAGTTCTTGTAGGTGAATGAAGTGCGGAATCTTCCATCGGGAGAGAAGAGATACTACTGTAACATGCACAAGGGGCCACACGTCGTCGCACATGCTGATTCCCATCTGGATGTGGTCCATACATTGTGGTGCAACCAGCACCTTGAAGTCACGCCGTTCACCTCCAGCGCTGCGTTTGCATCGCGCCAACATCTTCACTTTCACATTCGTCCTCAACTTCAGACACCTCCTCGTTTCCGCCAGTGCATCATGAAACCTTCCGCTGCAATCGCATCAATGAGTCTACTACTGGGCGTGACTGCTGCCGATTCGTGTGAAATGGTCGAGTCACCAATCCAGCAGTCGACCACGGCACCAAGCAGCCCAAACTTTGCTCGCTTCTTCGACCAGAATCGGTTCAACACCATGTTCCCGAACGCCGTGGAGCTCTACCACTTCGACGGTCTTGTCACCGCTGCCGACAAGTACTCGGAGTTTGCCAATACTGGCGACGAGACGAACGACAAGCGCGAGCTCGCGGCTTTCTTGGCTCAGACAGCTCACGGGAGCGACAACTTCAAGGCTGCAGAAGAGTACGCTCGGGACACGTACTCTGTGTGGCAATACTGTGACAACAGCACCTACCCGTGCGCTGCGGGCCGTCGCTATCACGGACGAGGCCCGATGCAGCTCGCGTGGAACTACAACTACTACAGCGCGGGCAAAGACCTCGGTATCGACCTCTTCAACAACCCGGACATCGTCGCACAAGACACGGCAGTGACGTGGATGACTGCACTGTGGTTCTGGATGACTCCGCAGAAAAATGGCCAGATCATCCACGACTTTGTTGCAGGTGTCAATGGCTTTGCCCGCTCCACGGACACTATTAACGGTGGTCTCGAGTGCGGCCCGGACGCCCCTAACCAGGTGAATGAGCAGCAGCGCATTGCGTACTTCGTCAAGATATGCGAGGCGTTGGACGTGCAGCCGCTGGGCAACACTTCGTGCAATGCGTAAACCTGATGGGCATCTTGCAGTCCAAGGACGGATTGATCGATTCCGTTATTGAACTAGCCCCACAACAAGATCAGAAGGTGGCGGACTTGTGCTTCCTCGAAGACGATCACGATACGCGGTCACTTTGTTGTCAATCTCAGAACGATGGTAACGTGAGAGCGGCCTAAAAAGCTGGAGCAATGTACGCAGTTAAAAGGTTTTACCGGTGTTCACTTTTGTTGTCGTGTCCATTTCCATGTGGTCAACAGGATTGATAAAGCTACTTTTTATCATTCTAAGAAGTTGTGATGCTACAGCCTTATGAATGTACAGCTTGTTGTCCTGCGTCCAGTTGTCCCACTGACCTCTCGGTCAACAGATGTAAGGTATCACCACCACTACTGGCAAAATTGAGAAATTACCATTAGTAGGGAAGCATTATTCACTTGTATCCGAGGTACCATACAACTGGAAAATCTAATTCCCATTTGTGCATTTTGCCAAAATACAGATGGGGCACGCAAGCACTTGCTATCGCACAAACACCCTACGATGAAAAACAAAGCAAGACTTTTCGATTAGAGACAGGCCTTTGCGGCATGGCTGTATGTTTTTGGTCAAAAAGAGCGTACGTGCTCCCATGAGAAAGATAAACTGGCATTAGCAAGAGAGACACTTGGGTTTTCGCAGTGAAGATTTAAAATCTGAGTACAACGGCTCACACAAGTAAATTCAGAAGTCTATTTACGAGCGTACATTATGGAATTCCGAGCGCTGTCTGTTTTGCAACACTGTCTTTTCAAGTGAAAATTGCGCTTTAACGCCGTGCAAAATATGCGCGACAAGAACGGCGGGATGCTCGTGTTCGTGCAAATGTAGTCCACTGCGCGCAAATGACAACGTCATCCTCGTGTTCTTTTGTGTTGTCACGCATCGTGCATCCGTCCGGCTGTTACCCACTAATTTGCACTTGCTAAGGTGATCAACATTGGTAAGTCGCGCCTCTTTTGATATGATCGCATCTGCATGAAGAACGTATGTAGCAGTACATCACAAGGCTTCACTGCAGCATACGATCCGTTTGCCCAATTCGCTTGTCGTAGTCGCAAGGTACGGTCGAGACATCGTCGCACTCGATAATGTAACGATGCTTCAAGATCTCTGTCGACGGATCCATGGGCTAAGGTACGTTGAGCAGTATTACATTTGGTTACCTGGGCTCAAGCTCAACATACTCGACTGAAGGTATCACCACTTACGTCGTTGGTCTCATTCGTGCATATTATTAGCAGCTCACTGCCTTTCATCACGTTCAGTATGTAAACCGCGTAACGAGTGTCTGTGAAAATGGACAACAGTGCTGCTCGACTCATCTGATCTGTCGCACCTTTTCGGTGGTCAAAGTTGCCGATGTATACCACACAAACGATCTGTTCGTGCACCGCTTCTCTATGTGGACGCGAAATTTGTGTTAGCAGTAGGTGTGTCTATTGTGCGTCAGTCCTCCCGGCGATTGATTTGGGTATTTTGCGACTTCGTCAATTTTGGGAGTCCAATGGTTCCGAATAGAAGTCAGTGATCTCGGTTCTGCACTCCTTCTCGTGACGCTACGCGAGTGTTGGTTACTTACAAGTGATAAGACCGTTGACGTTCAAATTTACATTTGTTGCGCATGATACAGTATCGCTGTAAAAGTGTCGAGACGTTGATGGATAAACAAGTAATGGTTTGTCTCTTAAGACTACGAGGTCTATCGATGGATGTCGTCTAGTGACAAATGAGCTGGCTCAAATTAACACTTCGTATAATTAGGGGCCCCGACGATCTTACTAGTTCAAGCCAGCGAGTTTTACAAGTGCAACATATAAGGGATGTCCATTTGCCGGTGGAAGCGATGCTGCTGACACGGGCGACCAAAGTGTATTAGTAGAGAGAATGATTGTATTATGCCGCTGGATCCTTAAAATGTCCTGAAGCACTGCTCCATCCAATGTTACGATACTGTTGACCGGCAAGATCCTGCTAGGCGTACTAAAAATATTGTGAGTCCCATAGTTCTGCTGAAAACCTTTTAAATAACGGCATCCGGTAAGAAATGTCAAAACTGCTGAAGCGTTCTAACTTATCTTGGCATGTGTTAGGATTCTTTTAGTACAAATCAATGTCAGTAAATTCGAAGAATTAGTGGATTAGAATCGCTTAATGCCTATGGCGGAATCTCGTTGCCGTCTAAAGCAGACTCGGCTGCCTTTTGCAGGCCAATTTGCCGTGCGTTGTACTCTTACTTGGACCCCCTCATTTTTCTAAAGGTGCCTAGGCTGTTGCACAACCTACTCTACAGCCATGCAGGCGGAACTTGACTCTCGCGAAGTTGTGTTTAAGGCTGTGAACGAACTCTGGAGCTTTCTTGCTTCGATAGCTCTTCATGACATTTGGATACAGAGGCTTCGCCCGGTGGATGATCCAACTGTACCCGAGTTGATCCACCTGGCGTCCTCCCGAGTCGGTTTTCGGCGGTCGGTCATTCGGTTTCGTGGCTAAACACACCCAACCAGTGGCACTACTTCGGAGTTTGTGCTAGCACGAGTGCGCTCGGCGCTGGCGGATGAGATTCTGCACTATTCCTAGATGCTGTCGTTGCGATAACTAGTTTCAGGGCAATTTCCCATGGACCATGTGCTTCTTTTCTTTGCAAGTGCATCGCACGGAAACCACGGTCCTCGTGGGCACGGGTCCGTCGTCGTCCGACTACAGGCGCAGTCACATGCGGCAGGCGCAGTGTGGATTGATAGCTTTGACCTGTGCTCGTCTTGGGTACCGTGGCTGTGTACCGCGGTTTGGCTTTTGATCTGCGAGCGGCTAAACACAGCGACTTTACGCCGTTGCACGTCATTGGAGACGATTACCTGGTCGTTTCGCAGCTTTGACTACACCGATCGCCTCGGCATCCGCACCTCGCTGCACTATATCGTACTGCCTGGATACTAGCAGGTGCTATCCAAGTCGCCAACATGGAATCATCATCGCGCGATTATAACAAGATGTCCGACCTTGCTGCGACAGCACTGGCTACCGACCTCTCGTATCAGGTTTCTTCTTAACTTGGTCTTAGATTCGCTCAGCGAATTTTACAAATTGTCCACCTCAATGTCTCACATCAGCTCTAGACGTCACTTCACGTTGACATCGGATAGCTGGACCGTCTCTCGCCTTCCGTTGACGACAGGGTATCAATACGTCATCATCTGGACCCAGGCGACGTGCTGTCGTTCCAGTCACACTGTAGGCTACTCAATATAGCTACACCAAGTAGCGAGGAATATTTGAAATGGTATTGGTGGTCGCCACCTTTCCTCAACACACCTCACCTTCAAACAAAAACGAGGTGCCGGGCGGAAGCTGACGAAAATCAAGGGTCGTTTCATGTAAACTGGAACCTGAATGGCAAAGCAGAAGAGCGTGTCGAAACGTAACCGATGATCAGGCTGAAAAAGCGATCAGCTTTGCGTCGATTTTCATGTTCGTCTACTAATGATTAAGTTTCCATTTGCTCCTTCAGCATAGTATTCTGTCCCTTTTGTTCACGGGCGTGAGCGACATGGAACGTGATGACTTGCAAAAAAATCAACTCTTTATCAAGTCCGGTTTGTTTGGCATTTCATCACCACAAACAAGCTATTATGAGGTACTGGCAATGACCGTTCGCCAGCGAAAACGAGATTGACAACAATTTTTAGCTGCGGCATGTTGAGAAGATCATTTTTCACGTAGAGCGTCTCCCTCATCGTTACCGATCGCTTCTGTGCTTGTTTCTGATCAGTTATGCTCTTCAGTAAGAATATCTAATCTAAGTCTTGAGCAAGAATAAAAGTGGGTGTTTTTTTCATTAGCTAACATCACTCGATATTTGATCATTTTTGACATATTCTGCCACGTCAAAATGAAAAATCTCACTTCGATTTTCATCAATTCTGCAGCTTTTTAGTACTAAAACTGGTGATAAGTTTGCCACGCTCCTTTTGGGTAACTAAACCTTTTTGTTCGAATGACATCTTATACCTTATGAGTTCACTGTGTCAAAAACCTAAAACCTTTCAAAAACAATCAGACGAATACCAGGTTATTTCTTCGATAAATGCACTTAAATGGGCTCCAAAAATCGCATACAACGCGTCAGAATGAGCTCGTTTCGCTAGTGCTTTTTTCGTCTGAAAATACAGACCGTGTCAAAAACGCGAGCCAAACGCGTGATAATCCGTGAGCAAATGGGACAAAGTAGTACGCGAAAACTTAGCAGTGAGGAAAATTTGTGATACCATGTAGAGTGCCACATTGACCAAACTGTTTCAGACGTGCTTCCATTGACTTCCAACGTCGCTAAACAGTCGATTCACAGTCCGCTAGTGATGGGTTGCAAATTGTAAGGTGAATCGCCTTGCTCATCTTTCGATATTGCCGATTCACAAGACGATACATTTCGTCTTTCCGTGCTTTGTCACATCCGCGAATCCCTTGCGAACTTTACCACCCGATTCAATGTCTCGTTTCGTTCTATTTGGGTTGACAGGTGCTCGAAGACGAAAACTTCCTTACGCCTTCGTTCTTGCATGAGGCAGCTGATTTTATCGGCTGATCACGACAAGAAGTTCTGTTCGTGTCTGACCTAAGCGAGGCGTGTACAAAGGATACCTCGATGGAAATAAGTTGCCTTGATCTACCCGGTCTCGAGCATGCATTTTGTGAGCACTGTATCCCGAGTGACTTCAAACAAAACAGTACACTCGTCTGGTCTCATGATCCAAGTGTGGAATTGGTGTGCGCATCACAAGCAAAGCAGTATGACCCGTAAGAACCATGGTTTACAGAGGCAGTAGAGTCAGAACTAGATACCTTCCGAAAGCTTTGTGACCAGGAGGAAGTAGTCGGAGCTGCACCTAGTCGACCGAGTTCATAAGCCATTCGAAGTCAGAAGAAAAAGCGTAGTCCACCTGACGATTGATCCCGGTGCTCGAAGGAGTGCCAATTGGGCTCGAAAGCCTTGCCATTGCGAGTCTTACGGCAATGCAGGGTTGCGTGTGCCTGAGATGACGTTGATCAGATCCCCCAGCGCAGTGTACGTCAAAGGCTTATTTTGCTCCCACCAACAGACCTCACACAATCAACAAAGCGTCAAACAACATCCGCGAAAACTTCACATTAGTTTGAGCAATAGTGAGCGCGTCAACAACGACTGGTAACGACATCACACAAACGTGTATTCTTGTTGATAAAAAACTCATGAGTCATATAGGTTAGCACGATATTGCAGTGGCGCTATAAACTGACTGGCGCTCCAGCACGCGACGGTACTTGAGTGCCCTCCTGGCAAGCAGTGCGTTTGTGCTGCAAACGTCAATCGAGGTTCCAGCGGTTCGAACGAGCTCTAAAACATTGGCCTGTGTGCGTAGTCGGAACGCTTGACTATGGAAAAAGACACCACTTGGCCGCGATTGATACCGCTCGCCACGGTTGCCAGCTACTTGCTGTCCCAGCGGTGCATTGCAGATTGTTGATGCAGGGCAAGTCGTCAACGAAGCCGATTCAATGGCCAAATCGTCGATAAACGACGGGAAGCTGCCCGCCATCACGGTCACTTGACACATTTTGACTGATGTGGTAAGAAGGATGAGTAGGTAGACGGTGGTGACTCAGTTGTTGAATTGCAAAATTGAGATAGAAGTGATGACTCAGTTGTTGAATTGCAAAATTGAGAGTGAGGTGGTGCCGCGGTAGTAATGTCAGCTATTTTTATCAGAGCATGCGTTAGCACTGCGAAGTGAGGTGAGTATCCGCACCGTCTTCAACGGCTCCAGCGGAACGTAACTGACCGACATCGGTCACATATCGAGGTACACTGCGGTCTCATCTCATTCATTGTGTTGATAGCATGTGGATACGGCTAGTATGTCCACTATTGTTGTGACTAAGGTTGCCGGATCTGTCATTATGTTCATAAGTATCGAGCCATTAACATGAGGTCAAATGTTACGTGCATAACGGCTCAAGATACGCAAGTGTTCCGAATAGATTGCTGTGCATCATCTCCCTAACTAGACACAGTCCCAATGCCGCGATGCACAATATCGACATTGAAACAGCATACCGCCAACATACTTGTGTGTGTATTAAACAGCTCTGGTCGGCACCCAATGAGTTTGACACAAACGCGTGTGTATCTAGCGTCGACCGTGTAATGAATGACCAACCAGAGTCAGCACAGTTGCTGCCTCTCCGTAAGCTCGCAGCATAGAAATGTGTTCAACATGTGCCGGTTTGATGACGCAAGAGCGTACCGTTGACAACACAGCGCACGAATTTCTAACCCGATGCTGACGCTGAAACAGCTGCGTTTCTATCGTCGTCTCACCCAAAACGGAGCCAATAAACTTAAAAGCGCTTCGGGTGTCTCATTGACTCTATTTCTGTCCCGAAAAAAGGGTCCACTCCAACTTGACACTCTCTTTTGTCATCCCGTATGTCCCAATTCCCCGGAATCTCGACGCCCAGCGCCCCTAACATCGCGTCCCTATTCGCTGAAATACCCATCCTCTGGTCCCTTTTCATCCACTCCTGACTCGACTCGCCCTCTCCGCCTGTCAAAGAGACTCGCCCTACAGAACGCCATCTCCCCCCTCTCCGTCATCGTCATGCTCAAGCGCCCCCTGGCCGAGTCCGAGTCGGCGTCGGCGCTGCCGCCTTCGCCGTCGTCTGCCGCCAAGAAGAAGCGGCGGTCGCAGCCCATGGGCAACTTGACGAACCTGCAGAAGCGCCAGCTCTGCATCAAGTTCTCGCAGGTCAAAATGACGCAGCAGGAGCTCTGCCAATGGGCCAAACGCGAGTTCCAGCTCGCGCATCTGCCGCACCAGTCGACGATCTCCAAGATCCTCGCGCGCACGGAAGAGCTCACGCAGATGGCGCCCCGGGACCTCTCGGCCCGTCGCAAGGGACTCGTGACGCACCCGGAGCTGGACACGGCGCTCTGCAATTGGGTGCTCTGTGCGCGGCACAACGGCCTCAAGATCTCGGGCGACATTATCAAGAGCCAGGCCCGTGCGCTCGCGGCTCAATTGGGGATCACGTCCACCATGAGCTTCTCGAACGGCTGGCTCGGCGGGTTCAAGAAGCGCTACAACATTCGCTTGGGCACTGCGGCTTCGGCCATGGACAGTGGCAGTCACAGCGTCGCGATGATGGCCAGTCAGATCCACTCGCTCGAGCAGCTCCAGCACGTTGCACGGATGTACGACCCCCGAGACGTCTATTGTATGCAGGAGACGGGGCTGTGCTATGAACTGTCGCCGGAAAAACCAGCAGGCAGAGCACGTGCAGTGAGGAAGGAGACCAGCGGCGAGAGACTCACGATCGTCTTGGCCGTGAACGCCGACGCGAGTGACAAGATGGAGCCCATGTTCATTGGACCGTGCAAACTGCCGGTGCTGCTCACGGAAGAGCTGGACACGGAGCTGCGCCACTTTTATTACCAGAACAATCGACGGGCGTGGATGACGCCTGTTATGTTTCAAGACTATGTCTCGGCTATTGACACGAGGATGCGGGACGAAGGACGCTATGTCCTCTTGCTCGCGTCACCGGCGCCGTCTCATGTCTCGCTCGGACTGGAGCTGACCAATGTTCGACTGGAGATTTTGCCGTCGTCTATGACCGAGCCGTTGTCGATGGTGATGCAAGTAGCCATGTCAGGGACTGGTGGCGATGACACTGCGGGTCTGCCAGAGGCTTCGGAATACATTGCTGCAGCTGAAGTGATTGCGACGCCGGTGCCCGAGTCGTCTCCTACCGAGTCGATTGCGACGCAAACGCAAGCTGTGATGAAGATACAGCCAGAGACGGAGATGCCAGCTACGTCGGTGTCAGACCTCGATAACTCTGCTGTGATAGCGAAGATGGTGTCGTCATTGGCTAACACGGCGGCCGTGCAACCGTTTGATGCGGGAATCATTGGGGCTTTCAAGCGGCGGTACCGGCGGTACCACATGCTATACGCGCTAGACCGCTTTGAAGCAGGACGAACGGATGTGTTCCACGTCAAGCAGCTGCAAGCTATGCGGTGGGTGCGTCACTGCTGGAAGCAAGAGCTGCCGGACGAAACAATTCGCAAGTGCTGGGCTGCGACAGAGATTCTTGTACCGAAGCCGATTCCCGAGACGATGGCAGCATTCGAGTCGATTGAAGAGGACATTGACAAGGAAATATGCGAGACGGTGTCGGCACTAGATATCCTGCGACCGCTGCCCATTGACGAATTTGTAAGCCCTCGCGATGAAAGTTTTGGGATTCACTGCGCAGGCTTGGAAGAAACAGACTTTGTGTTTACCGTGCCCGACAGCAGCGATAACAAGCAGAATGTCACAAGGCCCTCCCCTGGTGTGGCAGATGCAGTCAGGCAGCAAGTGGTGGCGTCTACAGGCTTGACGCCGCGTCTGCAGGAGCTGCATGCGCGCATCGAAGCGTCAGCATCATCGGCTGCAGTCGCTGCATCGACGTTGAGTCTAGCACCAAACACGAAGCCGGTTGTTTCAGGAGAGAATATAGCCTCTGTCCCGACGTCGTCCGCAAGCGCAGTGGACGTGCCCAGCTTACCGACGTCTTCCTGTACAGTTGTAAAACCGCATGCTGATGGGCCTGCGACAAACGAGCAACTCATTGGATGCTTTAAGATGCTGCTGCCGGAACTGGATCGCCTGCGGTTCGACGACCACACGAAGAAGAGCATACGTAATACGTTTCGCAAGCTGAAGGAGACAGTCGAGCAGCAGGCTCTGGACTGCAAGCGCGGCACCACAAAGAAGGCTCAGCCGCCCCAGTCTTTCCAACCTCAGCCGCAGTCTTCGCTTCAGGAGCAGCAGGCACAGGTATTACAGATCCAGCAGCTACAGCAGATGCAGCAGCAGCTCATGATGCAGCCGGACCAAGCTATAGCAATGGCTGCCCAGACATCGCGAATTGGCGAGGACACCATGTTGTAGGTATTGATGTAAGTGTCTAATCTAGACATGCTTTTGTACATGTGCTGTGTCGCGTGTCACGCATCTCGGTCAAATATTGACTCGTGGTGCTGATTGTCGTTACGTGGACGTTATCATCAAGCGTTTCGACGTGCCGTTACGTAACCAGCATATCAACTTGAAGTGCGTGTCGCTGCGATCCTGCTGCGATCGATCGCATTCTGACTGGCAGTGACCGAGCGATGTGCAGTCGAGTGTTGACGAATTCCAGCTCATGTCACGGGCGACTCGTGTGTCCCAGTGTTACCAGCTTCTTGTCGGTTGCAAATCGCTTCAATGGCACAATGTCGATGGCGTTACGAGGCAACACTGCTTCGTGCTGATGGCTTCATCCACGGCTTGGAGTTTCTTCACCAACGCCATCGTCATGAGGCCTTGTGACAATTGAAGGTGAAGCAAGCGATCTGACCGTCGAGACGCTATGCATCACTGTCCGTCTTGCCTCGCGCCTTCGTCAAGTGTTTGCACCGACGTCACCCGCTAGCACTAGCAAAGCCGTCGACATGTTTTGCTCCATGCGATGGCCGTTGGTCGTCATGGCCTTGATAGCACTTTCGATGTCTGTCTCAAGCATTGACGTTGCAGCTCATGGTCCAGCTAACACGACAGCATCAAGTCCAGAGTCAACAACTGCGGCAACTGCTACGATCACTCCAGCAATTCCGACTGCTAGTTCTGCTCCAGAAACGATTGCAGCAGCACCGGAAGATCCGGTGGATGCTATCACACGACTTCCTGCGCCAGAGCCCCTAGAAATCGGTACATCAATGTCGCCGGTAGTGACGGGAGCCGTTACCAGGACCACATCTGAATTGACATTACAAGCTCCAATTGCAGCACAAGCAAAGGTCTCTGAATCGAGTGCAACTGAGCTGCCCGAATCGACGTCATCACATGGTCGCATGCGAGCCAGTGATGCTAGTGGTCTCACAAGTGCGTCGTCTCAGTCCTCGGCATCGAAAAGCGCGTCCGAATCCACCACCGATAGTCCGACAGACTTCACATCCACCAAGTCGGTCGTGCTTTTCATGATATGTGGAGTCGGTTTTACCATATCAATGAGTCTTCTCTTCGTCTTATGGAGAAACAGGATGAAGAACAAAGACTCGGACCTGGAGACAACGGCTCCGCCAAACGCAGCTTCGATCTCATTTCCAGCCATTGCGATCCCACCGATTATCGTGCCTGACGCTCAGGTGGTGTCTTCCTGGAAAGCAAGTAAACCGAGTATTGCGTCACAACCTGATATACTGCTGTCTGCAAGCGACCACACCAAGCTTGATCCCTCAATGCGTTCATCTGTCGGCCACGACCTGACCAACGGGTACTCCCAAGTTGCTAGTCTGCCTCTGCTTTGCCCGTTGATGCAAACGCCTCAAGCAAACCGAGAGACGAATTCGTCTTCGGAACAGAGCATCAGTATCCGCGGGTACTCTGACTTCTCCATGCATCATGACTCGGAAGGTGAGACTTTCGCTGTGATGAGTGAGAGAGACTCGGCAAGTACGGCATACCTCGCTCGCGACAGGTGCTCGACGTATAACCGATACTCAGTATCGTCGCGGCTTTCCAGTGTCCATGGACGAAACAGCTCCGATTGGTTCCAGCTTCTAGCGTCCGAGCAACTCGACATCTATCGTGTTTCCTCGGCGTCATCCACAACTTTCTCGGTTGCAACAACCGAGCAAGTGCGGCTGCCCCACGCCAATGTTCACGTCACATTGAACGGAACCACGTCGCGCACTGATGTTCCGACCTGGTACGTCGTGATTCAGTCCCCGACTGACAACAACCGATGCACTACGACGTCGATTGACAGCGACGACTTGCGAGACGATAGAGAATCGTATGAGCTGTAGACACCACCGGTAACTCGTCAGCCCTCAGCTCTACCTGGAACGAAGACTCTTGTTCCGCCATCACCGTCGAGCTAATGCAAAAGAAGTCCAAGAGAATAGATGCATAGCTTCGTACATCAGTGTGAACAATAGAAGAAGTATATGAAAGTGCACTGCTACGCTCCGTTAGTCCCCTGCCGTTGCAACAACCTCACCGACGACACTTAATCCAGCGTCTGACCGATCTTTGGCTGCTTTTCACTTGCACCGCTGCTTTTCTTCTCGAAAGATTTCGTACGCACTTTCAGCACAGCACCTAGTGGAAGGTCTGCAAGACGGTAAGGACCGTACTGCACACGGATCAACCGCTTCACTACCAGTCGCACATGGGCCAGCGCTTTTCGGACCTCACGATTCTGATGACAAGGAGAATAGCAATACATCATCACTTGGTCAAGCACAACGACGTGCACTCCACTGCTGAACAAAATACACTACCCACCTTCCCCTCCGTGACTGTCACCTGGAGCCACGAGTCTTTCTTGTCCGTAGACTGCACCGTCACGTTCATCGGTCGGTACTTGACGCCGTCCACGATCGGTCCTCGCTGCAACTCCTGCAATTTCGACTCGGCCACATTGCCGCGAACCAGTGCTCGATAGACCCGCACGACGCCCGTCTTGGGATGTTCCAGCTCTCTCGCGTGGTCCCCATCGTTCGTAAGAAGCAGCAGCCCCTCCGTATTGAAATCCAGTCGACCCTGAAAAAAAAACACAAGATCGCCACGTCAAGCACAATCAACAACACTCTCGTCCTCAACAACGACGACCGCCCACCAATCATACCACTGGCATCATGTGCTGCACAAGCCCCATCACCCGCAATCGGTCAAAGATAGTAGCACGACCCTGAGGATCACCGTCCGTCACAAGCTCCTACAACAGCAACAACAGCAACAGCAACAGCAACAGCCCCACCACCAGCAGCATAGTAGCAGCAGCAACACAACAGCAACACAACAGCATCAAACGTCCGTCAGCCACTCGATCTCGTCCTCACTTCCAACCGTCCATCGCGTCTTCAAACCGCAACAACAACAGCAACAGCAGCATCAACAGGAGCAATCCACGCACGCCCTTCATCTTGTGCGCCATCCACATGGTCCTCTGCTGCGTCTTGGCCAGCGCGCGTCCGTCCACCGCCACGACGTCCCTCGCCACGTCCACGACCGTCGCCACGTCGTCCACTACACGGCCATTGACAGTCACGTCGGCGCTCCGAATGCGCTTCTCGGCCGCTCGACGCGAGCACAGACCGGACATGGCAATGCGCTTGGCCAATCGAATCGGTGACGGCGCCTCGTCTGTGTCTTGAGCGACCACAGCAGAAGCAGCAGCAGGAGCAGCGACAGCGTCTTGACGCCGCTTGGACGTGGCGGGGGAGCGCGTGGACTTGTGGAGCGTCACGAGGCTGCGGCGCGTCACTTGCAGTCGCTGGCCCAATGTCATGCTTGACAAGCAATTGTGACTACCTGTCGGTAGTGTTTGACTACCAGGGTGGGTACGTGTGAGCGTTCCTGTGGAAGACGATGGCCATCGTGGATATCGAATTGAACGGGTTGTTTAGGTGCGGGTCTGACGTGGCGTGGAGATTTTATCCGCCGATCGATCGATCTAAAATTAGGATTTGAGACATTTGGACATGCTGCAGCAGCAAGTGGACGACGTGAAGCGCCTGTGGGCCAACAAGCGGCAGCTGGCCCATCAAGGCTTGAACCTCGCCATGGTCGTGCTTACGGCTCTCATGATATGGAAAGCACTCATGACGTTCACAGAGAGCGAGTCGCCTGTGGTCGTCGTTCTGAGTGGCAGCATGGAGCCGGCTTTCCAGCGCGGCGACATTTTGTACCTGGACAACCGCGTACGGTTCGACATGTTTCTGCTTTTTGTGCCATGTGGTTACGCTTTTTTTGCTTTTTAGCGGTTTTTATTCTTATTTGTTGGTATATTTAAGACCCATTTGGTGAGAAAAAAAGGAGTAAACCTGATGTTATGAGCTGGATGTTCGTCGAGTGTAGAAACCGGAGCTCGAGATTGGCGACATTGTCGTGTACAAGGTCAAGGGCCGGGAAATCCCCATTGTCCATCGAGTGCTGGAGCTGCACGAACGGTCAGTGGTGGCCAGTGGCTTTTGGGTCAATTTGGGAGGTTCTTTGTGAGAAAAATGAGATTTAATCGAGTGCATCGTCGTGTCGTAGAGCCTCGGATGGGTACCACGTATACCTCACCAAGGGCGACAACAACAACGTTGACGACCGGTACGACGAGGAATTCCTGGTAATCATCAGGATACCCGCAGACCCTGACGCTCGTTATGCTGTGCAATTTGTTTGACTCTTTTTGTAGTGGACTGTACGCACACGGCCAGTCGTGGCTCGAGCGCGACGACATTGTGGGCATTGCTCGAGCGTGCGTGGAAGTTGTTGCTGGTGATGCTTTGGTGTTGCAGCGTGGAAGATAACAGTGACTCTTGTCTTGATGTGCTGCAGATCCGTTCCTTACGCCGGGATGCTGACAATCTTGCTGAACGACTACCCGATGCTCAAGTACTTGTTGGTGGGTGGCATGGGCTTCTTGGTGTTCACGCAGCGCGAGTGAGTGAGAGGCGGACGCCATTGTTCACTGCACGTGTGACGACGTCGGAACGAAGAAGGTAGTGAGTGGCAACGAAAGAACGCACAACAGGCTGCCGCATTTGATAAATACTCACTTGTCGCTGCTGCAAGAGCGCTTTATTTTCGTACTGGTTGTGGTTGGTGCATCACACCGCTTGATCGTGATGGGGTGGATGCAGTTGTAGACTCATGGTTGCTTGTAGACTGGGGTGCATCTTGAGCCAGCTGGCATGCCGCAAGAAAGCAAAGCGGTCATCGGCAGCGCACTGCTGCCAACGGCGTCGTGCTCGTGGCTACAATCAGTCCTTGAGTGCTCGGCAATAGAGCTAGGCTGGCTTTTACGAGTCTTGCGCTTCCTCGATTTTTGCTGCTCCACGTCTTTCACGTCAGGCACGTCAATGTGATCAGGCAAGAGACCATTCTCATGGCGCTCCCATGCCATGCCCAAACCCAGCTCGAGATTCCGTACCCACCGTTGAGTGTCGAACAACGGGCTGCGCAAACGTTCGTCCTCAAGCCGTTGCCGGAGCTTCCATAGCCGGTCTGCGTCACTGGCCAGCGCCACAGCAAGCTCTTCGTACTCCTCTAGCGAATTTGTAATGAGCTCGCTCATATTGGCCGCGCGCAACAAGCTCGAGGCCACGCGCGTAGCCATGCGATCCTTTGGCATCGTCACCATCGGGGTGCCTCCCCACAGTATATCACATCCAGTCGTGTGTGCATTGCACTCGGGTGTGTCGAGAAACAAGTCGGCCAGATACCCACGCTTTAAATGCTCATCCTTCGAGGCCACATCCGTGAAGACGAGACGCGTCTGATCGATTCCACGAGCACGCGCCTCGGCACGGATGTTTGCCTCTGCAATAGGCGGGAACCGCAGCAGCCACAGCACCGAGTCCGGCACGCGCTTGAGGATGTTCATCCAAGTCGTGAACGTGACCGGATCGATCTTGTACACCTGGTTAAAGTTGCAGAACACAAACTTGTCCTCTGGCACACCGTAGTCCGCTCGTGTTGGGCACTTGGACGTGTCCAATACGTCACGCGCCGACTGCTTGTGGTCATTCACAAAGTACGAGTGCGGCATGTTGATCTGCTTCTCTGTAAAGAACCGCCGGTATTCTGGAGGTACTACCGTCGCATCGCCCACCATATACTGGATGTAGTCAGCGCCCAGCGTGCCGCAGAAACCCATGTAGCTTACTTGCACAGGTGCTGGCTGGAGGGCGAAAATCTCGTTGCGCGCGCCCTTCGTGTAGCCATTCAAGTTCACGAGAATGTGAATGCCATCAGCGTGAATCGTGCGTGCAGCATCGCCGTTTGACAGTGCACAAATGTCGACAAAATGCTCAACGCTGCCAGCAATTTGCTTGCGCCAAATCGATCCATCGTCCGGTGACGTAGCGTAGCAAAACACCTCGTACTTGCTCTTGTCGTGCATGCCAAACACACTCTGCATCAGGTGCGCGAGCGGATGGTTACCCAAGTCCGACGATACGTAACCAATGCGAAGACGCTCCGAGTCACGCTTGCTCCTGAAGTGCATGGGCGGCAAGTCCACCAGACTCACATTCAGCTTGGCACGCTCGGCGTACCGCCGCGAAATATCCTGGAATCGCTGCATCGACAGAGGGTACACCAGTGCATGGAAAGGCTGCACAGACGGCAGTACGCCCTCCATACTTAGCTGCTCGTCCACAAAGCGCTGCAACATCTCCGTGTCCTGCGTGCGAGATTGCCAGTCGCAGATAAACACCATCGAGTGAAAGTAGTTGGCAAACGCGTCGGGGAAGTGCGGGCGCAGCGCAAGAGCCTTGCGGTAGCATGTGATAGCATCGACGAGACGACCACCATCTTTGTACGTGCTCGCTAGGTTGCTGTAAGCATCAGGAAACTGCGGCTTGATACGGATGGCAGTCGAGTAGCACTGGATCGCCTCGTCCAGACGACACAAATCCTTATACACATTGCCCATGTTGCTGTACGCGTCGGCAAAGTTCGGATCAATCGTAATGGCCTGCTGGTAGTGAGCCAGGGCCTGGTCCAGCTTGCCTTGTTCTTTCAGCACACTGCCAATGTTGCTGTGTGCAGCCGCAAATTGCGGGAGCAAACGCGCTGCCGTCGTATAGCAGTGCAACGCTTCCTTCACAAGACCTTTATCCTTGAGTGCATTGCCTAAGTTGTTGAACGCATGCGGGTGGTCCGGTTTGAGCTGCAACGCCGTGCGGTAGCACGTGACCGCCTGCTCCAGCTGCCCGCATTCACGCAGCGCATTGCCTAGATTATTGTACGCGTCCGGGAAATTCGGCTCAAGCTGAATCGCGTGGCGAAACGTGTGGATAGCCAGCTCCATCTGGCCTGCATCGTAGTAGCAGCTGGCCAAATTACCGTGCGCAATTGCAAAGTTCGGTCGAATCTGCAACGCCGACTTGTACGCTTGAATAGCTTCGTCCACTCTATCTGCTTCCTTCAGCGCGTTGCCCAAATTGCTGTAAGCGTCGGCATAGTCAGGGGCAAGGCGAATAGCTTCTCGGTAGTGGTCAATAGCCGCATCCAGCTGGCCCTCGTCCTTTAACAGACCCGCCAAATTGCTCCAAGCGACCGCAAACCGAGGTTTCAAGTGAATCGCTTGCGTGTAGCAAAGCTTGGCCTCTTCGAGCTGGCCCTGGAGCTTGTACAGATTGCCCAAATTGCTGTGTGCGTCCACAAGGTGCGGCTCCAGCGCAATCGCCACCTTGTACATCTCCACAGCGTCCTTGCTCTGGCCCAGAAGCATGTAACAACTGGCCAAATTGTTGTACGCGTCTCCAAAGCGCGGGTTCAGTTTAATGGCCCGCAGGTAAAACTGCACGGCGCTCGTCAAGTCGCCCAGTTCCTTCAACGCGTTGCCCAAATTCCCATAAGCTTCAGCAAAGTCCGGCGCGACGAGGATACACTGTTGGTTATAAAACACGCTCTCCGCTATGTTTCCCAGCTGGAAATGCAGTGCACCGAGCAGCAGCAACGTGTCCAGGCGGTGCGTGTCCGACTCGTACAGTTCTTCACAGATGCGCAGAGCGTCTTGGTAGTATCCGGCCGCGTACTGCTGCTGTGCGACGTGCAACAGGTCTAAACAGTGCATACAAAAACAAAGAGAGAGCAAAAGAAGCACAATCAAACAAACGCTTCTCAATCAAACAAACGCTTCTCAATCAAACAAACGCGTCTGATTCAAACAAACGCTTCTGAATCAAACAAACGCTTCTGAATCAAACACGTACACGTCAAACGCTGTTGACTGGCCGCGTCGTGGTACACGTCCGATGGCGAGAAGCCAGTGCTTGTCACCCCACAATGCAGCGCCGTCTGCGTCTCGTACGGATACGCCATACTTCGGCCGTTGGAGTTGACAAATAAAGAAGGCGGAAGAGGAAGGAGGAGGAGGAGAAATAGAAGGGGCAAGTCTCTCTCGTGTCCGTCCGTGTCCTAAACGGCCGCGTCAGTCGAGCAACTACTTGACTTTAGTATCGACAGGAGATGAAGAGGACGTCGTTTGACGGATCGAGTGCAACGTCCTTCTTTCTCAAATGAGGTGGCGAGGAGGAACGAGCGTATGGGAAGATGCGACGGAAGGGAGGGAGAGAGGGGGTGGTCGGTCGGTCGGTTGGTTGGTCGATCCCTCACTTGCTTCGTGACTTGCCTTATCAGGTGAGGAAGTGACGGACTCACTCGGTGAATGAGTCAGTCACGTACTCGCCCTTTAAAGGCGGCGCGCCGTTTCTTTTTTCGCCCGGTCGGGGGTGGGGTCCGACGTCGTCGACGCACGGGTGCGCGCGATAGTCGTGTCACCCCCATCTCGCTCTCTATCTATCACTATCTATCGCTCTCTCTCTATCCATGTCTATCTATCCATCTCGACGGCAGCCTTCGTCCCACGTGCATACTCAACGCCAGTCAAGTCGCACCCGTTGAACGCCCCACCCGCCAGGCTTTTCGCTGCACGCGCCTTCTTAGGCGACAACAAAACAGATGGGACAGAAACCCCTACCCGCCACCAGTTGCAACGACGAGACTCGTCGGGAGGCAGCTGGAAGAACGTGCGACACGCCATGAAAAAATCCGCATTTTCTTTTGACCAAGTGACCAAGTGAGCAGGTGAGGGGACTGCGCCAGGACATGAATACACTTGCTCGCCATCATGCAAGCGGCACCCAGACGTAAAGCTGGGATTGCAGCAACTGACTGGACGAACGCAGCCGAAGACTCTCGTCTGCTTGCCTCAATGGAATAATACCCACCACGGTCAGAGCCCAGCCATTCGACGAACCTTTTCGCTGCAAAGCGATTGAGCAACCCTAGCCCTAGCTTGACAGCCTGGCGGTCCCGTGCGCCCAGTCTCCCTCCACGAACATCCAGTCAAAACTCAGTCACGTTTGCCACTCCTTTCCGAGCTCAGGCGCCTCGTGCTCTCGTCGTCAGTGGCTCGGGTAACGCAACCGTGTCTTGCGACGCCTTTTCTCTCCATCCCCATGGACCGTTGAAAGGCCACCAGAGCGATATTGAGGTGGACTCTGCGTCGCCATCTTGGCCGTATTTTAGGGTCCAAGTACTCGCATCATCGATGCTTTTACTTGTAAAACACGTGCATATTGTTCACCTGTCGCCATTCGTAGACACCTCAACGTGTAAAAAACTGCTTTTCATTGTACACCGACGCTCGGAGTCAGTACCGCGAGGTCCACACAGTCTGATAATCTCTGCACGTAGTTTATCTGCACACGCCGCTTGCGTCCGTTGTGGCGCTTGCCAATAGGACAGTTCTATCTGCTGACGGGCTACAATAGTGGCGACAAAAGCTATAGACATACAACATGCAGCTGTCTCAATACTAAGCCCCTGCTAGACGCCATGACCACACAAACTACGTGCGGCCGACTACCAAACATCAGACCTCAGTCGGAATTCGTGCGATCCCTAGTAGCAGCAGCAGTCTTAAAGGTCACGCAATTGTCTGTTGCAAAGATTGCTGCCGCTTGTAGTCCAGATCGCTGAAAGACGATCCAGACAGTTGCCCTTCAGTCGGTATCAAAAGTTGTATCGGATTATTGGGCACACACAAGGCGTGAGGTGCTTTAGCTATCCGAAAGCGCCAGACTTGTCACTCGATCGAAACGGGTGTAACATGAAGGATAGGATCCCCCACACGGCGACAGGAACGTCCCGTTGGCACGACGCTGTAAATTGTCTGGTCCTGTTGGCACGACGCTGTAAATTGTCTGGTCCTGTTGGCACGACGCTGTAAATTGTCTGGTCCTGTTGGCACGACCAGCTGATTCCGAGACAATCAGTAGAGTACGCGCAATTCCCTGCAACGCGATAGATGCTTACATAGGGCCATGGCGTCACGCAATTTAGCTACAGGCAGTAATATCCCCTTTGATCGATGCCACCCAACGTGGCCGTAGAAATACTCGAGCTTTACACAGTGCATTGGCATACATGGTACTACCATCATACTGTCATTCATGTCAAAAACATGCATGCGTTGCCGAAGATGATCGTATTCCGAGCTTAGAAGGAGGAACTTTACATGAGAACCATGACGTCCTGCCTGGAAGTCACGCCGGACGTCGTCGTGCGCCATACACGCACGGTTCCGCTGTACACAATCTATGCAGAATGTCGATAAGCTAGAAGGGAGGACATTCTCAAGTGTAGCGTCTTCGTCTGCAATGCAAGACAGACGTCGAACTGCAAGCATGCACACGATTGCCATACGTTTCGTATATGGAATCAATCGGTCAACGAGTGAAGACATGAACATTGCAATCTGAGCGACCCCCACGCTCTAACCCTCCCCAAAATAGCGCACCCTCCCACAAATAGCGCACCCTATACATGCACCCAACGTCGCTCCCGTCTTTAACAGACTGCCATTTTCACAAGTAACTACCACGCCCGCTCGCGCCGCTCCGTCTCTGCAGCTCGCGCTCTCTCTCTCTCTCCGCTCTCATGGCCCTGCACGACGGCCTCGTCAACTGGCCGCTCTTCTTCGGCTCGATCCTCATCGGCTTCGGGCCGCTCGCCGCGCTCTTCTTCGTCGTCGTCGCCAAGCGCGCGCAGCTCGTGATCATCGCGCTCAGTGGCGCGTTCCTGTGGCTCGTGGCCATCCTCGTGACCGCCACGTGCTGGCAGCTCCTCCCGCCTTTAAAGACGTCGCTCCCGGCCACAATCGTCGTGGCGGTCGTCGTCCAAGAGGCGTTCCGCCTGCTCTTTTTCTACCTCTACACGCGCACCGAAGCGGCCGTGAAGCGCGTGACGACAGCGGCGCACCAGCTGCCGCTCAACGACGTCACGTCGGCGCTCGCAGGCGGCGTGGGCTTCTCGCTCATGCACGCGCTGCTCATGTTCGGCAGCCTCGTTGGCTCGTCCACAGGCGCTCGCGGAGCCGCGTTTTCCCTCTCGTGCGAGAGCGTGCCGCTCGTCCTGTCGGCCGCGTTCTCGACGCTCGCGCTCACGGCGATGGACGTCACGCTCATGATTGTCGCCTTTGAAGGGTACCGGAAGCGGTCTGTACTGGCTAGTGCGACCGTCTTTGTCCTCCACATGGGCGTCGCCCTGTCGGTAAGTGGCCAACTAGCCAGAAGCTGCCAACCAGCAGCAGCCAGTTCTACCTGGCAATACTGTGACGCTAATGCTGCCTCTGTTGCTGACTCTGTTGCTGTGGTCTGTTGTAGGCGCTGGCGAACATGGACACGAACGGGTGCTACGTGTCGATCCCTCTGCACTACGCGGGTGCGGCCTTGGCTTGTGCGTGCGCAACGACGACCGTTTGGCGCTCGAAGAAGCTCGCTGTGGATGCTAAATAGAGCTCTATTTCGCACTTGGTCTTGTCTGATGGTCGTGGTGTCGTTTGCCTGATGGAAACAGTGCAAAGCTGCTCCTAGCTGCAGCCAAGTGTGCGGAACAAAAGAGTGCGCTGACGTTACGTGTTTATCGTGCTTGCTGCAATTTTGCGACCCCACAGACACACGCGCTCGATCAGGCTGGGGAGAGTCGCTGATCGACTGGCACGTGTTGTCGGCACGCCTCTTTGATCGCCTCCTCGTTTACAGTCCATACTCGTGTGGCCTTGTGCCAGCGGTAAAACTGCTCGATCGCCTGCTCGTACAGCATCTCGTAGCCCTGGATGCACATCGCACCGCCCGCCGCATGCGCGTGTGCCAACATCGGTGTGATAGGAGGCATATAGGCGGCGTCTAGCACCACGACCTTGCTGCCGTCACTGCGCGGAGCCACGAGGTGATCGGGCAGCTGGAAACCAGCCTGTGCTGGAATCGTGCCCACTACCACGTCCACCGTAGCGAGTCTCCTGGGCGTTAACTCTGACAGCGTTTCGGCGTCAAAGCGCGCAGCGACAGCGACAGCTTTGTTGAATGTTCTGTTGTAGATAAACAGCTTGCCGACGCCCAACTGGCGCATCGCGTACGACGCAGCCATGGCAGTGCCGCCTGCGCCAATTACAAGCGCAGTTAGCTCATGGACGGGCTTTTTCACGCAGAGCGTCGCGAGTCGCTTGCTGACGGGACGGAAGATGCCTAGCCAGTCCGTGTTGTCACCCTTCCAATACGGCGAGCCGTTCCGGTCCTCACGCAAAATCGTGTTCACAGCTCCAATGGCCTGTGCAGCTGGCGAGAGCTCGTCCAGGTGCTCCATGATATCCAGCTTGAGTGGAATCGTGACGGAACCACCACCAAAGCTCGTATCTGGTGCTCGCATCCGCTCCACGATTTCCAGGACGTCCGTGGTATCATGCAGGCTGTATGTGAACAGCGATGTGAGCGACGCGGACTCGAACCCAGCATTGTGCATCGCAGGCGAGGGCGATTTCTGGATCGGTGATCCGAACAGGTAGAACTCACGAGCTGGTTTACAACAAAGATGTGAAGGCAAGAGAAGCAGAGGTGAATTGAGATGAAGCAGCACACCCGCCAAACACAAGCAAACATTGCCACTAGTCTACGAATGCGAATTACCTGGAAGTAGCCCAAGCTGCTTGCGCAGGGTCATAATCTCTTCAACAGAAAGTTGCCCAGGCGCCGCGACTGCAGGCAACAGCGGGTGTGTCACCGGCGTGAGTGTGCGGTTCAAAACACGAGTCAGCTTGCCTGCGTCGGTGGTACAGAGCGAAATGATCGGCATCTGCTGCTGCCACGCGTGCGCGAAGTGTTTGGCAACGTGGCCAACCGTGAGGGCATCATCTGGAGAATAGGCCTTGACCACCACCTTCACGATCTGCACTTTGCCTTCCGAGTAGCACTCACGGAAGATAGTATTGATGTCAGCCTCTGACGAAGGCTTTTGCACGGCGTGGAAGGATGAGATAATGGCGGATCGATGGCGACCGGCCACCAGTTGCTCACGTGCCTTAGGCGACCAGCACGTTTCCATGTCCACGAACTCACAGCCCAGGCGAACACCCAGTCGAAGCAGCTCAAACATCTTCTGCTCGTGTTCCTCGCCATCCGGGAACGCGCCACCTTGCCCTTTCGAGCGTACGGTGAAGATGATCGGAAGAGTCGAAAGCGAACGAAGGAGTGTCACTTGAGCAGCCACAAACTCCACGTCCTCGGGAAACTGCAACAAATCCACACGCAACTCCAGCGCATCGACGTCCTTCGAGATATCATCGATAATCGGACGCGCATCGTTCACGTCGGGGAACGTGAGTGACAGGAAGAACGTATCGGAGCGACAGGCAGATCGATAGTCGAAACTTGTGGGCAGATTGGGGATGATCAAGGAGAGAAGACGCACAAAGTCGCGATTGATGCGCGGGTAGTCCACATCACCAGCGTTCACAACGAATTCAAACGACGAGCTGCGCTGATACAGAGGATCCCGTTTTACCCACACATTCGCGTGGCTGTCACCTAATGACGGACGATGCGACTCCTCCACAGAATCCAGGCACGACAGAACATCCTTGATATCGCGATGAACGTGCACCACGTACGGGTACTTCTCGAGCGCATCCACGATTTCCGGGGTCTCTACGACCCCACCGCCACAAGAAATGATGGTAGCAGGAGGCGGGTTCGAGATCAGACGCAGTAGCAGATCCTTTTCCAGTTTGCGAAAGGCTTCCCACGTGTGATTGTGCCGAGCGACGAAGTCGGCAATAGTCTCACCAAGCTCTTTTTCCAGCATCCTGTCCGTATCCAAGACATCCAGTTTCATGGCAGTGGCTGCCGCCTTCACTAGGGAGCTTTTACCAGCACCACGCATGCCAACAACGAACACACCAGGAACTGTGCTGTCAATGTCGCTATCGCCAGTCACCTCCTTGACGACAGGTGTGACTTGAAGACCAAGGTGCATTTGCACGTGGTCCCAGAACTCCGGGTATGTCTTGTCCGTGCATTCTTTGTCGGTGATGATCACATTGTCTACTACAGACCCGAGGACCGCAAAGCTCATGGCGATACGATGATCGTTATGGCACTCGATCGAAGCCTTTTTCAAGTGATCAGTCTTGCCTGCCGTACCTTTGATCCAAATGCCGTCGGGCAGCTCCCCGCACTCCACGCCAATGTTACGCAGCTCGGTCACCATCACCTCAATGCGGTTGCACTCCTTTACACGCTGGTTAGCGATCCCAGTGATCTTGGTCGTGCCATCCGCCACAGCAGCAAGGGCAACAGCAGTCATGAAAGCGTCAGTCATGGTTTCCATGTCAACTTCCACAGCCTTGAGCGGTGAGCCATCCTGCGGTCCAGTCACTGTCGTCGAAGTAGCGTCCTGCATCGTGGTACACCCCATCGATCGCAGCAGAGTGTGGAAGGCGGCATCTCCCTGTAGACTCGTATTGCCAAGAGCTTCTACAGTCACCTGTCCGCCAGTAATAGCGGCAAACGCCAGTGGGTAGGTGGCTGACGAGGCGTCCACTTCCACAGACACCGCGTCAGGATTTGTGTATACGCCGCATGGTACACGGTAGCGATTGGGAGCAAGCGTTTCCACCGAAACACCAAACTCTTTCATCAGCTGTATGGTCATGAGAATGTATGGTAGCGAAGTCGGTTCGTCCTCTTCAAGCTCCAGTACGAGTGGCTCTTTGGCGTATGGTGCGCTGATAAGCACAGATGATACGTACTGACTGCTGACCTTGGCAGCCAGCCGAACGGCGCCGCCACGTAAGCCAGTGCCACGGATCGCGAGTGGTGGGCACCCTTCACTCTCAGTATACACAATCTCGCATCCGTTTTCACGCAGCGCATCTACCAGTGGTGCAATCGGACGTTCCTTCATGCGGTGATTGCCCGTGACGATCACTGTGCCATTGTCCTCGTGCGGCACCAGCGTCATCGCGCTCGTAAGAAAGCGAGCAGCTGTACCAGCGTTGCTCAAGTAGATCTCCTCGCCGTCGGCCACAGTACAAAACCTCCCGGCAGTGCCTTCGACAAGCAGTACATCACCGCTATTCTCCCACGAAAACTTGGCGCCAACCTTCTGCAACGCATTCATCATCACTTGCGTATCGTCCGAGTGCAAGAGACCCGTGATGCGGCACGGACCGCTACCAAGAGCAGCCATAAGCAGCACGCGATTTGAAATGGACTTCGATCCAGGGACCCGAATGGTACCGTTTGCTTTGGCACCAGGGACTATGCGAACTTGTTCCGCCAGCACCAGTTCAATCTGTCGATCTTCCACAGCCCGCGCATACGGGTCAGCCAGCACCCTGCCAATCTCCTGCAGCAGCACAATCTTCTTGACGCCGCCAGCATTCTTCTTATCGACTTCCATCTTCACCAGGATATCGCGCGTCGCTACATGTTCTGGGACCCGCACGGGGAGTCCATACGTCGTGAGACACCGTCTCAATCGACCAACCGTTGCTGCTGTGCACACGCCCATACCACGTGCAATCTCGGCCTCTTTAATGCAGCCGATTGCAACGCACTCGCCATGGAGGAACTCGGGCTGCAGCAGCGCTTCAATGCCGTGTCCGATACTGTGGCCAAAGTTGAGGATCGCGCGCAGTCCCCTCTCTTCCGTATCCTGTGTCACGACTGTCGCTTTCACTTGCACCGTCAACGCCACGACGCGCTGTACGACGTCCATGTCCGCGAGCGCCACGATCGTCTCGGCCTCTGTCTCGAGCAGGTCAAAGAGCTCGGGACTGAAGATCGCGCCGGCTTTCACCACTTCGGCCAAGCCGTTCACGAGCTCGCGCTTCGGCAGCGTCTGCAGCACACTCAGGTCAATGTACACGCGCTGCGGCATGTGGAAGGCGCCCAGCAGGTTCTTGCCCACGGCCACATCGATGCCCGTCTTCCCGCCAATGCTCGAGTCCACACACGCCAGTAGCGACGTCGGCACTTGGACGAACGGGACGCCGCGCATGTACGTGGCTGCTACGTAGCCGGCTAAATCGCCCACGACGCCGCCGCCGACGGCCACGATGCACGTGTCGCGATGGCAGCGCGCGGGGAAGAGCACCGTGTCTTCGATCGCGGTCTTCATCGCGCGGCTCTTGGACGCTTCTCCTGCTGGGATCGTGTGCAGGAGCACGCGGCGCGTGGAGTGGGCGGTGGCCGCTTGAAGGAGCGCCGCCGTCAGTTGAGCGCAAAGGGGCTCAGCGTACAGCGGGCCGACGTTGGCATCGGTGAGGATCACGAACGTCGAGATGGACGGCAGGCGATCGAGGAGGTCTTTGGCGACGTACTGCGACTGGAGCAGCGACGTGCCCAGGACGATGTCGTACGAGCCGCAGGGCACAATTTGGAGCGGCGGAGTCGTGGTCATGACTGGCAGCGGATTGGGAAGTGAGGCGAAAGGAGAGCGAAGTTAGTGCCACCGGGGGGGCTAATGACCGAGCGGGTGTCGACGGCGGTGGAGGTTGTGCGAGTGTAGTGGACGGAGAGGGGGGGGTACGCTCTTGAGTATGTAGCATTTGGGTTTTGGTGTCGTTGACGACTCTTGAGTATGTAGCTCTTCCTTAGTTGACAAGTTGGTGCAGCGATGCGGAACGCATTGAGATAGCAGCAGAGCTAGAGTGAGGTTGCATTGCATCAATACAGCGGTTGTAGTCGATGCCTTCCCTGCGTGCCAATGTGCATCCGCTAGACGATGCGATAGTCCCACTTCGATACAAGGCGCTTCGCGTGAAGCGTCATCTGCACTTGGCCGGAAACTCGAACAAGCTGAAGCATCCACGTAGACCGCATTCAACACGCGACTGGGACTCCTGATCGACATTGACAAGCTTGTCGACCGTACGCTTAGCATCTCCTACCAAGAACACGACCGAACGAAGGCGCGAGGTTCAGGACCTGCGTAAATGATGAGCAGAGCTGTTGCCTGAGAGCACAACGAGCTCATTTACTGCCTTTTGAGCTGCAGTGCAGCGTCTTAGCTTCTCGCCTTCCTCCCTTCACCCTCCTCCTCCTTCTACTGCTCTCTCGTGGCTTGCGTCACCCCCATGACCGCGTCCACCAAGTCTGGAAACGCGCGTTCGTCCGGTGCCGGATACGGCTGCAAGTCGGTCCAATTGCCGGTCGCCAGCACGCTCGGCAGCTCGTCCACCGACGTCTGGAGACAGAAGTACTGCTCGGCCATGGCTTCAGCCAGCTCCGTCTGGTGGTTGTCCATGAGCGTCTCGTTCACGACCACCACGAGCTTCTTCCGGAGCGCTAGACTGTCCATGATCGAGCCCGCGCCCGCGTGACTCACGACCAGATCGGCCTTTGCCACGTCGTTCTTGTAGTGCGGATCGTGGCGGTAAAAACTGAGCTCGAGACCCGGGAACGACGGGCGCGGGACGTAAACACCGTGGCCAATCTGCATGCGCACGGACGTGAAGCCCCTATCGACCAGCGCCGACAAACACGCGTCCGTATCGAGCGCGGCCACGAGCGCGTCAAACCTGGTCGTCCCGACCGTCACAAACACGTGCATGACTTTCGGCAATCGCGACCGGCGGCCGACCGTCGTTTTTTCACTTGATCGTTGTATGCCACCTCTCCTTTTTGCGCCCGCAGGCCGTCGATTCCACGATGACATCGTCGCCGCCTCCGTCCGGCGCGCTCGAGACGCACGAAGGCGCGCCATTGGACCGCCGCGTCTTTGACTCGTGGCACGAGTTCGACGCGTACATGGAGACGTACGCACGGCGCAGTTTCCAGCTCTTCCGCAAACGCACGTCCACGTCCGTGAAGCTGCGCAACCGACGCGTGGCCGAGCGGCTCATGTCGGACTCGAAGAAGGCGGTGCCGCTCTCGACCGAGAGCGCGCGGATGATCCCGGAGCGCTACGCGAATTACTCGCTCACGCTCGTGTGCACACACAGTGGCGCGTACGTCTCGCGGGGCACGGGGCGCCGCTCCCGGCAGGACGTGCGGGCCACGCACTGCAACGTGCAGGTGAACGCGTGTCTGAAGCTGGCCGACCCCTTGACGAATCGGTACCAAGTGAACGTGACGCGCGCTCTCTTGACGCACAATCACCGCGTGGATCAGGAGACGTTCTTGCGGTACAGCAACACGCGCCTCAAGCTCTCGGACGAGCTCTTGAGCGGCGTCGAGCTCCTGCGGAAAGCAGGCGGCAAGCCCAAGGACGTGCGCAAGTACATTATGGAGCACTCGAGCTGCGTGCCCACGCCCAAGGACGTGCAGAACATCCTGCATCGACTACGTAATCAGGAAGACGCGGCAAGAGCTGCCCAAGCTGCAGCCGCTGCTGCTACTGCTGAGCGAAAGCAGGTGCTTGACGTGCAAGAAGTCGATTGTAAGAGCGAAGCTGATGATGTAATCGTGTCGTCTGAGAACGAGGTGCTGCGTGACTATCGCCTCGCTTCCTCAGCAGCACTAGTGGACGGCGAGTTGCATCACACCGTGGACTTTATGACTCAGTTGAGCGTGTCGCGCGCAATGGGAGACGCTGTTTCAATGCTGCTCGCGGACATACCAGCCGCTGAGTTTGCTGCCGCGTTCCGTGTGATGGAAGACGCGATGAATGCTGTACGAGACTGTCGCGATAAACGAGGGGATATTGATACAGCGATGAGAGAAGGCACAGCAACGACCAGCGTCGATGTGAGTGGCAGCTGTGACACGTCATGGGTTCGAGGTCTCTAGTATGCTATGATCGACAGGTACGTTGCACAAGTGCGAGCAAACTGCTACCACTCCATGCAAACACGAGCTGCCAGTGAAGAAGTCCCTGCAGCTGTCTTGCGTCGGCTTCACTGGACCGGCCTCATGTTAACGCTACAGGACGGAAGCAGTGCAAAGTTGGATGATGCTGGACTGCTGCCGGTGCTCACATTGGGCGACGAGTGCCTTCATGGGGGACGCTTCTTGGTCGCGTGCCTTGCCGCCTGTGTAATTGATGTCAGGCAAGCATCCACGGAGTAGAAAATGACGATGCAAATCGGCAGGCGCAAGCGAGCAGGTGCATGATCCAGTGAGCCGAGACTGCACCGAAATCCCGATGAGAAAGAAGCATGGACGAGCCTCAGGAGTGGAACCGGGACTCGCAAGTCGCACGTGGTAGTGGCATGTGCATACAATACTCAATACAGTGCTTGTACCGTGCATGGAGCAAACCCGTTCGACATGGAAGATCGATTGTCCGCATCAGGAGCGCAATGGCTGCGTGCATAGATACCCCTCGGCGACAGGTGATGCCTGATAGCAGCTTCGACAGCTGCACGCACCACATCGTTCCTCGTTTGGCTGCTGTCGTATCGATCTTTCATTCCTCATGATTGCAGACCATGCACCTGCTCTAGGTCGCAACTTGTCCGGTTAGTCAGCCAGGAAGTCCATCTCCAGTGGCTCACACGAGAGGGACCGTTCTTGGAACGTTCGGTCTCCCTACAGCATAAGAAGTCGCACTTGTGTGCGCTCCGAGGACACTGGCAGTTTGTATGCCAACGACGTGTTGCAAGTAAGTACCTGCGCGTCTACCGCATCTGAGTGACTTTTGACCTCCCAGCGCGTCTGCCCATCAGGTCCGTTGACGTGTTTTAATGGCTAGCTTTACCTTGTTTTCATCGACATGGCAATCTCGCGTTCATGTCCGCCCGGCTCGTGGCCTCATCCATACAGTTGTCCAGAGGTGATCACGCTTCTAGACGACCACAGTAGCCAACCGAACACGTTTTCGACACCTTCTCGTTCATACCGACCATCTCGAGCCCGAAAATCTGCAGGTTCGCTAGTTGGACGAGTAGTCGTGTGCAGGATTTAACCGCTTCCCTATCATGCAAGCGCATCACATCTCTATGTTCAAGAGGCTGGCGTCTGCTTGTGCAAAAGACAACGCACGAGCTCAAGGCGCCCGTAATCGTTGTCGTCACGTTCTCTGCGAGTGTCTCGTTATGGACCGAACTTCCTCGGTCGATATTGTCGACGTGAAGGAAAGCGCAGAGGACGATAACTTTTAAGACGAGGCGGTCGCTCCGGACCGGCACAGCACAGAACGAAACATTAGACCAGGCACGAAGCCCACACTTGCTGCACAAGATCTCGCGCATGATTGGCACTACGCTACCGAGCGATGGTCTAATTATTTCACAAAAGAGGACGCTGCACCGGTTGATGACCAACCCACCACCAGTCATCACCAACGGCGCTGCTATACCTCAACGATAGCTACTGGTGACCGGCACAGTTCTTGCTAAAATAGCACAGATCCGCTAGGTTTGGTAGATGCGAGCGAACAAGGGTGCGATGCACATCTTTCCTCGCGACAGAAGCACCGCCGAGACGGCACGTTGATCGATGCCGCTCATCTTTTCTACATGGTGTCGAGCACGCATTTTTTCTTAACGACAGCAGAACGCCATCGCGTTAAGTTACCAAAGTGAGGATCAAATGCTGGGTATTTGTATTCTCCGAAGTGGAAGGCATGGCAAAGAGCTTGTCCGTGGCGTTCACAATGCACTTGCTCATTAGATCGGGACGCAATGCCATCAGATCACGAATCGTACCGGCTATTGCCGATCTATTCGTCGCCAACGAGAGCAACTAGCAGCAAGTCAGAGGATGGCGTCGTTGTTTTTGGCAGCGTTCAGCTCTGAGCGCTGGTATGGCAGCCCGACTGACGCATCGCCGACGCTATGTGCTGGGCACGTCGCTCATGACTTTCAAGCTCGCGATATTCGTGACTTCGAGTGGAAGCTGATCCGGAAGCTGGCCACGCTACTTCTGCTGTTATCAGAGAGACTCTCCTATTGACCTGCTTTCCGGTTGCAATCTGCAGATGATAGAACTGGTTCGGCAATAGAAACGAGGCTTCTGAGGCGAAGAAAGACCCACTTGTACGCATTTGCGCAAAAGGAAGACCCAGCTTCGACCCGTTTATGTGTGACAGCGCGTCACGCGCCTTGCCCGTAGCGCGGAACACGTCAGCACTTTTTCTGGAGATGGGCTGTTTGGTGGTGCAGCAAATCTGAGCTGGAAAGGTAGAGAAGCGCAACTGGCTTCAAGAACCCCTTTGTTCCTTCGACTTGCATGGACTGCCACGGCGCCAACAACGCTCAAGGTCATCCCTGCGACCACTAGACAACAACGCGCTGGTATTTATACGGTGCACACATTTTCAGATCACTCGGCATGTCATAACGTAGACCAAGAAATAGCTGCAAAGCTTACGACGACGCGGTGTAGAGCAGGGTCGGCTACCGTCATCGGACCTTCTGCTTGTCCTCCCGGCTCACACGACTGGAAGGGCCTGCATACTAAATGCTCTCTCAGCGATGCAGCCATTGGAATCCATTCCAGTTATAGCAGCCGAAGCGGACAGCACACATGATGCCTCCTGCACTCCATCGATTGTAAGAATGTGGTGAATCGCTCGAGGCATGCCATCACCTTTTTTTGTGTCGCTGCAATAACGACGAGAACCGCCACGTTGCTTTGCGACTCACGCCATCTGAATGTGCAACCTACACTGGCGGCCACAAATCAAGAAGACTATAGTGTACATACGTGGTGCAATACTACGAAAGAACTCGATCGGACTGTACGCTTGTGTATGAACCTATCAATCCCAGCTTTGCAGTTTCGCCGACGTCGTGTGGGTTGCCAAGACGTCGACTTGATTGACGCATTGCGGATTGCGAAAGATAGTGCACCTGCACGAACAGAAAGGACAGGGGAAGCCAGCCCGAAAACGTGATGCTTTTTCGTAGCGGATACCTCTACGCTGGCCGAGTCGTATCCCTCGATTTGCGTGTTATTTATAACCAGGAGAGGAAGCCACTCGGCGTCGCATAGGGTTCGTGGTACCACACACTCACAGACCTACACATTCCTTCCACCTCCCCTTCCCTTCTCCTGCATGTGAAAAACCTTACCGCGCTTTCACCGTCGAAATCGACTTGATATTGCTTTTTGTATCGATGGACAAGCCAGCGCAGACGAGCGAGTCGGTTCCCGTCGAAAAACCTCAGCCCCGTCCGATCGGCAGAAAGCGTCAACAACCAGTGGAGCAGCTGCAGCTGCAGTCGTCGTGTAGTAGTAGTAGTAGACGGGCAATCAGTAGGAGGAGGGGGGCACCCTCAGAGCGGTTTTTCATTCTGCAATTTGCCGACTACCCCCGACGTCTGCAACGTTTTGCTCCGTCGTCCGTTTCTTGTCCTTTCTCTTCGCCAAGCGAGATATCTCCAAACCCATTACCGACTGACGGACCGACGGACTGACCGACGGACTGACGGACGGACTGGCAGTCACCATGGCTCCTGCTGCTGCACCGCGTAACTCGTACATGTCTTTAGCGACGCCCAACGACACAAAGAACTACACGAACGACGTGGGCCAGATCCAATGGGCGCAAGTGCCTCTGAACGCTGCACTGGACAAACTCAAGTCGTCTCGTGAAGGGCTGACGTCTCACGAAGCCGAGAAGCGGCTGGCCGAGTACGGTCCGAACAAGCTGCCGGAAGAGAAGATCAACAAGTTGACGCTCTTCATGGGGTTCATGTGGAACCCGCTGTCGTGGGCCATGGAAGTGGCGGCCGTGCTCTCGATCGTGTTGCTGGACTACGCCGACTTTGCGCTCATTCTGTTCCTGCTCTTGCTGAACGCCGTGATCGGCTACTTGGAAGAAGTGCAGGCAGGCGACGCGGTGTCCGCGCTCATGGGCCAATTGGCGCCGGAGGCGAAAGTCTTTCGTGATGGGGAAATCAAGAACATTCCAGCGGATTTGCTCGTCCCTGGCGACGTGATCCGTGTGCGTCTTGGTGACGTGATCCCTGCTGACCTCAAGTTCCTGGAGGGCGATGCCGTCAAGGTGGACCAGTCTTCGCTTACGGGTGAGTCGCTGCCAGTGACCAAGAACGAGGGCGACGAAGGCTACTCTGGCTCGGTCGTGAAGCAGGGCGAGATCGAAGCCGTGGTGACAAGCACGGGCATTAACACGTTCTTAGGTCGCGCTGCCGAGAAGATCGCGTCTGCCGACTCCCACGGTCGCCTCCAGATGGTGCTGACAACTGTTGGCAACTTCTGCATGGTGTCGATCCTCTTTTGGTGTATGGTGGAGCTGCTGGTGCAAATGGCCGGTCGATCGTCGCAGAACCCGTGTGTGATCGTGACAGACGGCTGTCTGGGTGTTGCCAACATCCTCGTGCTGATTGTTGGCGGTATCCCTGTTGCCATGCCGACTGTGCTGTCGGTGACGCTTGCTATTGGATCATCGGCCCTGGCCAAAGAGAACGCCATCGTGACTCGTCTCACGTGTATTGAGGAGATGGCTTCGATGGAGGTGCTGTGCTCCGACAAGACGGGCACGCTGACGTTGAACCAGCTGTCAGTGGACATGGACAATTTGATTCCTTACAATGACTTTACGACGGCTGACATTCTGAAGTACGGCGCTCTGTCGGCGCGTACCGAGAACAATGAGGCGATTGATGTCGTGTGCCACAACACGTACCCAGGCCACGCGACGATGTGGAAAGAGTACACGCTGTTGCACTACACGCCCTTCGACCCGACGACGAAGCGCACGATTGCAAAGTTGAAGGACAACAAGACTGGTGAGATCTTCCGTGCCGTGAAGGGTGCCCCTCAGGTGGTGCTGGACATGGACGTGAACGCGGATTCGCTTCGTGCGGAGGTCGAAGAACGCATTGACGAGTTTGCTTCGCGCGGCTACCGTGGTCTCGGCGTGGGTATCTCTCGCAGCGGAGACGTCCCGATGGAGGAATGTGAGTGGCAGATGATTGGTCTGTTGCCGCTGTTTGACCCGCCTCGTCACGACACGGCCGACACGGTAAAGAAGGCTATTGCTCTGGGCATTGCAGTGAAGATGGTCACGGGTGACCAGAAGGCTATTGCCGTGGAGACATGTCGTCAACTGGGAATGCCGACGAACATTTTGGACACTTCTTTCTTCAACACTGCCCCACCGCCTGGAGTGAACCTGGCGCAGATGATCTACGACACGGACGGCTTTGCTCAGGTGTTCCCCGAGCACAAGTTTGAGATCGTGAAGCATCTGCAATCGCTGGACAAGGTGGTGGGTATGACGGGTGACGGTGTGAACGACGCCCCAGCCCTAGCCCAGGCTGACATCGGTATTGCTGTGGACGACGCTACTGACGCTGCACGCGCTGCCGCAGACATTGTGCTCGTTTCTCCTGGTTTGAGCGTCATCATCACGGCTATCCGCATGAGTCGTGAGATCTTCTTGCGCATGAAGAATTACGCCATGTACTCGATTGCCATGACCGTGCGCATTGTGTTCACGTTCGGCATCTTGACAGTGGCGTGGAACTGGTACTTCCCCCCGATTCTTGTGGTGATTCTTGCCATTCTGAACGACGGCACGATCCTGACGATCTCAAAGGACAATGTGGTTGCGTCACCGTACCCGGACTCGTGGAAGCTGAAGGAGGTGTTTATTTCATCGATCTCATTCGGTCTGTGGCTGACACTGTCAACAATCGTGCTGTTTGCTGTCGTCATCAACTCGAGTGGTTTCGAGAGTGCTGGCGTGGAGAATCTGTGTGTGAGCTGTATGAGGGACCAGTGCCACGATTTCTTCCAGGACCAGTATCAGCGGTGTGTGATGGAAAACAATGCAACCGGATGTGGTGAGATGACGGGCAGCGTGCCTCAAGCCGCCAGCTTGCCGGACGTGGGTGCGTTCCGTGAAAGCGCTGTCAATGCTTACTGGACGCGGTATCAAGAGAAGTACGACTCACGCTCCGAGCTGTTCGAGGACTTGTCGGACGTACACCTCAACTCGCTGCCGAATGATGCGAAGCCGTCGGCTGAGGCTGCGTACAACCAGTACGTGTATGCGTACACTTTGGGCGTTGGCGGTGCTGCGTACGAGGGCGACTACAACGTGTTCATTGCGGCTCAGTTGGGACAGGGCGTGACTTTTATCGGGAATGATGAGGTGCCCATCACGAACGAGGTCAGCTTCTGCGACTACATGTGGGACTTCAGCAACTGGAACTCGACGTGGACACGCAACAACGAGATGATCGGTCCTGGTATCCAGCGCAAGGAAGGCGTGCTGCGCTCGCTGGTGTACCTGCAGGTGTCCATCTCTGGCCAGGCTCTGATTTTTGTGACGCGAACAGCCGGCAGCAACAATTGGTTTTTCGCCGAGAAGCCTTGCAATCTGCTGCTGATTGCGTTCGTGTTCGCTCAGATCGTTGCTTCGGTGGTTGGCTGGATCGGTTTCGGTGGTTACCCGACGGACCGCATTGCTGTGATCGGCTGTGGCGGCGGGTACACGCTGATTGCGTGGTTGTGGTCTATCTTGTGGCAGTTCCCACTCGACGTGCTCAAGTTTACGGTGAATTACATATTGACGAAGAACGCGTACGCGAGCAAGGCGTTCACGGAGCGCATCAATGCCGGTCACCCCACGATGAAGCACTCGGTGGTGACGAACACGCAGCGTTCGATCCGCGCTAGTCGCACTGTCTAGTGAAGAAGGGAAGCGAGTTTGATCGCGTGCGAATGTGGGCAACAGCATTTGGGAGCTACTCGCAGCCTCCTGCATCAGCTGCAGCTTATGGAGAGTATTGGCCATGTGCACTGCATGGTCATCGCGGGTTGATGCAAGAGGTGAAAAATGAGGCTGTTGCACTTCAAGTAGTATTACCTAATGAGTAGGAAGGATGAAAATGACAGTCATTTTCCTTGTACTTCGGGTATTTGCACTGCCAACGTTGTCGATGTACGATCCGAAGAATTGCACCGCTGCAGCATGACCGTATATCCTTCCGGTGGAGGCTGCTTCCAGGTACAATGCGGTCGACCAAGAACTTCACATCTCTGTCGAGTAAATGTTGATGACAACGCTGCGAGAACCAGGAGCATCAAGCGATGGCAATCGATTCAGGTAACTTACAGCCATCACCAGTTGCTTGCTCTTCGGTATGAAGTCCACACATCGTTTGCTCCGTAGTGAGGATTGGTATGTTAGCAGCAAGTAGGCGACGCTTGATTGGAGTATCGGTGCAAATGTAATACTACGATGAAGTCTATGTTCAATCTGAAGCTGATCAGGCTGCTGGAGATCGCAACAAGAAGATGAACCGGGCGAAAGTTATGAATGCTCACTTCAGCTCTGGCGTATCATCAGATCCGATAGTGGCAGAAGCACCAAGCCATTTGTGCAGCGACAAGGAGGAGCTGCAGGGTATGTGTGCTGCGACAACAGCAAAACAAGTTCGACCATCTGACAGAAGATGCTAGACAGAGACGGAGGAGCCGTCCACATGGAACTTGGTTCCGCGACTTCCGTCCGAGTCTTGAGATATGACGGTAGAAAAGCTGAGTCCCTCGGTAAGCAGACGAAAAATTTAAGCACGCAAGTCCATTCGAAACTGTTGTGGTGACTGCTGCATCTTTGTTACTCTGCTCGGCGAGAGAGACGTCAGCGGCCTGTTTGTATGTCAGCCGTTGTCACTTGTTATCATAGAGACGGCGAGGGTGTAGACTTTGTATTAAGCACAGCTGCGAACATTCAGTATCTTCGACATGATTTCGTGCCGCGTGACTGTGTGATGCAACAAATTGACATGTTCAAGTTGAGGCCGCGGGATACAGAAGATGTGATCGGTAACCCTGTCATGGATCCACTCGAGTCATCGTCAGCAACTGAGCGAGTCCGTTGTCCAGAGCAAAGCTCTTGATTTCGCACTTGTCTTAATGCATGTGCTCGTCACCCAGGACGCTCCCAACTTTGGCATTCATGAACAGCTTTGATTTCACTAAAACTTCGACAGCAAAAGCAGCTGTTTGTACGAGGCTTCCGAAGTCATCTACAGACGCGCCTGTACTCTCGTAAGAATCGAGTTGCCTGGCCGCCCAGAAAAAATGCAGCGCAATCGAGCACTACTTTGTGGGCGGCACACTATTCCAGTGAAACAAGTGCGTGTCATCCACTTCACACATCAGGTTGGTCATCCGGACCGAAGTGTAACCCCATTAGAGTCGTTGATGACCCTGATCCAGAGCTCTATCTCGATACAGCCAACTCTAAAGGACAAGGAGCCAAAACACGGGGAGTATACTGCCAGGACAACCTGACTGCTGTCTCGGACATGGAGGGCGCTAGTACAAGCGGCGAACCGCCTCGTACCCACCGCTCACCACTGAAACGTCTGTCGCTGTCTCCGCCCGTATGGAAGGACCAGCTCCGACGTCGCTGTTTCCAGCGCCTGAAGCAAGACCGTACCCAGTTGCTCGCCAAACTGCGGTGTTCAGACGGTCGCACGAGCGTCACAGAGGAGATGCAGCAGCTCGTCGCCCACGTCTCGTCTTGTGCCTCTTCTGCTGCTTCCGTCGATGATCTTTTGCTGCTGGGGAAGCTGACAGAGAGCGACTATTTCGAGATTGTTCATGCGCTGGAGGACGCGCTGCGACAAGACGAGGAGGAGGAGGAGCTCCTGCACATGGCGGATCTCGAGGATGCTGAGCTGGAGGCCATGCTGGCTGGACTGGACCTGGACGATGTGCCACAGGAGCAGGAGTTGAAGGTTGTTGCTGGAGATCAAGAGCTGGTGAAGAGCACGACAGCTCTGGAGATCTCGGTGCTGTGTCCTCAGTGCAAGACTGGTTACTTGCGAGAAGAGAGACTGGATGGAAGAGCAGTTCCCTTTCTCTCGTGTAGCTGCGGCTTCACGTTCATCGTCCAGTCCGAGCATCACAGCGTGCTGGAGGAATTCCAGGACAAGATCCTGAACGCGTTCCTGACGCATCGGTAAGACACGTGTCTGGTCTAGAGCCTGGCGTGCTTGGCACTTGCTGTACTTACGTGAGCTTCTTTCTTGTTTTCTGTGTACACCTACTGCAGAGATTCGTGCAGTGCCGACCCGACGTTCGACAAGATGACCAAGTTGTTCCAGGACCATGGACCGGACGTGCTCCGCATCAAGTGCACGACTTGCAAGTGTGACTACGCGCTACCGTGAAGCTGCGGCTTCACAATGCTGCAGCTGTTGTCTGTTTTCTTTATCGAGTCTGCTAGTCTGCAACAAGAATGTACGGGCGTGGTCGGGGAGATTGCCGACTTCGTTGCTGCTGCTTTTGCTACATGGGTGGCAGGAAGTGTGCGATCATGAGAGTCCCGATAAAGAGCAGTCCCAGCAGTCCAGGCGTGAACAAGCCCCAGACTGGCCACAGGGCGCAGATATAGCTCAAGCCGGCCACAATTCCTGTGATGGTTGCAACGGAGATCACCTTTGGGTAGTGGACGCTCCACTCCAACCGGATGCGCTTGATATAGGGTAAGTAGATGGCCAGGTACGCTGTGATACAGATCATGACCCCTGTACAGACGAGCGCTATTTGGAAAAAGCCCCTGTATTTATAGCGCAAATTAGCGATCATTTCTCTCTCTCCCCTATTTTGCGAAAAGTAAGTTGCAGTACCATTTAACGCGAGCGTCGGTCATGATAACGTGAATAAAGTCGGTGCCGTAAACTACGAGCCCCGCGGCCGCCACCCACAGGAACGCGTACAGTTGCATGCTCCGCTGTGCTGCTCGCTGCGACTGGCTGATGCGCTTTTGCTGGTTGCCTTCAGTACGTTCACAGTCATCGTCGCTCTCGTCACTCTCGCGGTGGTGGGCGCGCTGATAAGGCCGGGCGGTCATGCTTTTCACAGCTGATTTTGTAGTTAGAGTCACGTAATAAATAGATAGGAACATTTCAACAAATTAGAGTCAATATCTAAACATTTGAGCTCGACCTCTGAGCTTAATCGACCGATAGAGTTAGCTCCGACCTGTTCGTACGGGAGATAAAGTCATGCTGCAATGGAATGTCTTCGGTAGGAACTTGATTTATGGAGTTGTGTCACCCATTCTGGCTACAATTTACAGCGGAATACTTGGCGTACACACGACAAGGCAGCTCGGCAGATGCCTGTTCAGATACGCACATGTGGTTCTTGGAAACGAATGTGTTGAACGAGAGTGTCGTCGTAAGTACGATTGCGGGTGAGGCGCGCTAGACGACGGTGGGTTGGCGGCCGCTGACTTTGTGTTCGTAATGGGCATACGTTGTGCGAGACGATATGCGAGACTTAAGAATGGTGGACGAGAAGGATAGCAATCGAGTGGGCAGGAAGGATGGTGAGGGATAAGAAGGCAGAGGAAGATCAAAGATAAATGACAGAACCCTTTCACTACAGTGCTTCGTATTGCTCCTCTAACGATATGTATATCTAACAGGTTATGATCCCAAACACAAAGAGCAATGACAACAACGCGGCACAAGCGCCGCCGGCAACTGGTCACAAAAGGCCTCGTTGGAGCCTGCTGCGGTGGTCATCCCCCCATTCATGCAAAGAGCGCGGACTCTGAAGTGCTGGCTAAGGTTCTCGAAATGCTGTCTGGGATGGATGCGAGGATGCGGAAGATGGAAGCCTTACACGCAAGGATCAAAGAAGATGAGAGGATGCGCGGTGCCGACGAAAGCAGGTTGTTCACCTCGACGCTCGAAGCTGACTTTGCCGGTAGGCTTCATCGCGGAGCATGGAGAATTCATACCTCCGCGAACAACGTGGATCACCGCAAGTTTATTGTGTGATTTGTCGGCTTCATGACCTGAGGATGGGGCGCTACACCTTGTGCAGAACCGCGCTGAACCGCTACCGCAGCCGCCTCCTCAGCTGCCATCATACCAGCCGCAGACGATGCCTCAGGCACCGTCAGGACTACTGCAGCAAGTCCTCGCGTTAATACAGAATCGCACACAGAATGCGAGGAAACGCAAGCTCGCGATACGTAAGTTTGACGGGACCAAGGTCTACGTCGGGCTGGGGTCAGGTTATTTCGACTGGGGTAAGACCTTTTGGCGCCAATTTGACATGGCACAAGAGTTGTAACGGGGCACCCTGAAGCTTGTACTGGTGACAGTACAAGCTACTTATTCTGATAACAGAATAAGGCGGTGCCTCGTAACTTCACGTACACTCGTACGTGCAGAGGAAGACGGTAAGAAGAAGCGAGTACTCGGTTAGAGTAAAAAGTAGAACTGTATTTATAATAGTTAATGTCTGCAATAAATCACTATTTATCTTCATCTAACTATGTCTAAATACAAATGTGTAAATCAGTTATCTGCTCACCACTCATTGCGTGCGTCTGTCGTGGCGCGTCTTCGTTGGTTGATATAATGGCCTATATCAACCAATTAGGAACTACTTGGAAGTGCTACCGAATATTGTCCTTATGACAATATTCTGAGAATATAACTCTTATAGTTATATTCTATTAACAATTTCTTATAAATTGTTATGTAACGATTCACCCCGTTACATCACCCCCCTTAACCATCAGTCACTTTAGTGACTGATTGACTAAATGGATACTCGTCCCAAATCATTTGGGACGGGGTTTGCACTTGTTGGTCCGCGTCCACTTTCCAACATCTCATCGCATGGTAAACAAGCCCATGCGATGCGCGAGCAAGGCCGCCGAGAGCGCGTCTGCACGTCTCTGTGCGGACGCCGAAGCAGAAACTACAGCAACTGATATCCCATCGGTTGCTGAATCGACTCAGCCTGTATCACCTGGTGATGCAGGCGCTGGTCATGAAGACACTCGTGTCTTCACAGAGTACGAGCTCGGTGTCTCGTACTCTCCTGATACGGATGACGGATCCGTATCGACGGCAATTGAATCCAAGCCGCCTGCCAAGCGTGGCATGGACGATGCTTTGCGTCGCAGCATCTTTGGTTCATCTGATGAGTCAGATGAACCATCGCCGAAGCGAAGGCGCTCGAGGTCGCGAGACTCGGGCGCTAATAGTGGTGTCGTTTCTCCAATGGACACCACTTCACAGCGAGGTGCCAGTACTTCTGTCGGCACGTCGCAGGAAGAGCGGGACCGCAATGTGTTGCGTCTCGCTCCAGAAAAGAAGGCATGGATGCCTCCTAAATCTGTCATGGATCACTTGTCGGCGACGACGAGTGATCGTTATCGAACACGATTGTTCGATTCGTCAAGGATCCATCACCTTGACCCCAGCGCGAAAGACTATCGCGCTGAACATGAGTTCTTCATCGATGCTTTCTTCAGACATCGATGGTACAGTGGGAATCACAAACGTGATGGTCCCTCACTACTTCAGGCGTGGAACGCCTACATCCATAATCTCGAGGATGTAGGTCGTGACGCTTGGAACGACAAACTTATCAAAGCTCGTGATAAGTTTGAAAAGCGAACCCCGACAGGTGCACGCTATAAGCTGCATCGTCTGTCAAGGGAGAAAGGATTACCCTGCCTCTCTTGGGGAGACTCGTGCCCATGTTGTGTGAACAACTCTGCACGAGCACCTAAGGAGGCTTACCTCCTTACCAGCCCGTGGTGGCGCGTACGTGTCTCTACTGAGATGTACGAAGGGATTGACAACCTGAAATCCCTTTACGACCGTGCCGGGAAGACTTTCTCCGGCGGTCCTTCTGCGGCACAGGATGTGTCGCGTCGTACTGCTCGACCAGACCCAGTACGTCAACCATCAATTGGGAGCGGGGCTCCCAAGAATCCCAGGACGGGGGATAGCCGCGCCACCGGACGAGGTAACTCGTCCGACGTCCGTTCACGTCGCGGTGGTTCAACAGCTGCTCAACTAGATAGCGCTGGCCACCGCGAGAGTCCTCTAATGGAGGTGGAGGAGGAGGAAAGACGCTCTCCACACGATCATGTGGATCGGTGTGTTCCCGAGAGCATCTTTGATCGCGTAACGCAAGGGTTACGCGACGATCTCGAGCATGAGCGGAATAGGCGTCTCCAGATGGTGGACACTGCCTCGAAGCATCGAGCTGAGTTTGCCTTTGCTCAGCTTGAGAACGAGAGATCTCTGACATCTCTTCGTGACGAGCTAAGGGTAGCTCGTGGGATTGTTGATCGGTCTCGGGCTGAGATAACTGCTCTTCAGACCCTTGTTGATGCCCACCATCGGGAGCACAAGGCTCTCTGCGAGATGCTTGAGCGCAAGGGCGTTCTTCATCGGAAGAAGCAGCGTACTGATGGTACGGCTTAAGCCGACCAACGTAAAACGTGGGATGCGTTCGCATCTTACGTGGTAACTCGATCGTGTATGCATTGCCTAGGCGGTGCAATACACGAAATGGGCCAATGTACTTGGGTAGTAGTTTACTGCTACCCAAGTTAGTCACTACATGTTTTGGTAGATTAACCGTAGACAGTAGGACTAAGTCACCTTTATTAAATAAAAGAGTGTTTGCCCTTCCATTCTTGTCAGCGTTTTGCTTTTGCTTATCCACCGCTTCGGCGATGGAGTCTTGCACAAAACGGACTACCGTTTCACGAGCCAGTATGAACTCATCTGATGACTCGTTAGCTTCAGTGTGCTGTGAGCGCACTGCAGCAACAACAACCTTTTCTTCAGTGAGGGCTTCCGCACTCTCACTGGGATCATTGTCTTCAGTGAGGGCTTCCGCACTCTCACTGGCATCATCTTCTTCGATATCGATGTTATCGATATCGGCATCAAACGCAATGACTTCTTCGTCAGAGCGTGATGAGCGTGAACCAAATCGGTTTTTGCTCGCGCGAGTCCCTCCCCCCTTAAACCAGAGTTACACTCTAGTAAGGTGGGTACACGCGGATGGCGCAAGCCATTCACGTAAAACGGTGTATGTGTCGTGGACGCATGCACCGAGTTGTTGATGGCAAACTCTACCATCGGCAAAAACTCACTCCAACTCTTAAAGGAGTGTACGTATCCTCGAAGTATCTCTTCAAGGACACGATTGGCACGTTCCGTCTGACCATCTGACTCTGGATGATCAGATGTTGACATCTTCAAGCGCGTTCCGAGTGATTTGAACACGGAACGCCAGAAATCAGCAGTGAATCGTGGATCTCTGTCTGATACGAGTTCACGGGGCAACCCATGAAGTCGGAAGATGGTGTCAATAAAGACACAAGCACAGCCACTTGCCGTGATTGTCTCTGGTACAGCCACAAGGTGTACCATTTTGCTGAATCTGTCAACAAATACGAGAATACCCGTATTCCCGCGTGCGTCTTTGGGTAACCCGAAGACGAAATCCATTGAGATGGATTCCCAGCACTCAGCCGGAACCGGTAGAGGCTGTAAAGGTGCACGCAGTGAAGGACTTGACTTCACTCGTTGACAGACTTCGCATGCGCGAACATACTTTCGCACAAACTGATACTGGCGGGGCCAGTAAAAGTCTCGACTTACCGTGAGATATGTTTTCTCTCGGCCACGATGTCCTCCTATAGGAGCATCGTGATACTCGAACATGATCCGCAAACGCAGATCAGTATCATCTGGAATGACAACACGTGGTGTGTCACCAGAAACGGCTGTATAGTACAGTAAACCGTTACGAGTAGTGTATCGATCTGATGCAGATCGATACGCAGACGACAATCGTTTCAACGATTCTCGAGATGGTTGGGAGAGATGTGACAACAACTTCACTATCTCACCATCTTGGGCGTATGCCCGCCTCACATCATCATACAACGTTGTAGATGGAACTGAGGACGTCATAACCGCAACAGTGACTGTCTCACTGTTGGGTTTCGCGACTGTTTCAAAGTCGGGACGACGTGAGAGTGCATCAGCGACGACATTAAGTCGTCCTGGTTTGTACTCGACCGTAAAGTTGTATTCTGCAAAGAATGACAACCACCGCGCCATTCGTTGTGAAAGGTGCGGGCTGTTCACTGCCGTGCGTAAGGACGCATGGTCAGTGTAAACAACGAAGGGTCTATCTCCTAATAGATAGACTCTGAACTTCGCGAGTGCATACTTCATGGCAAGGAGTTCCTTGTCATGCACTGGATAGTTCCGCTCAGCTGGTTGCAGCTGACGCGACTGATAGCAGACGACGCGTTCAACGCCTTCAAGGTCGTACTGCATTAATGCACAGCCGATTACGAAATCGCTGGCATCACAGACCACATGAAATGGCCTGTCCTGATCGGCTATTGCTAGGACTGGGGATTGTATCAAGCTCTGCTTGATACCCTCAAAGGAGCGTTGACATTCAGCGTTCCATAACCACCTCTCGTTCTTTTTCAACAAACGAGAGAGGTGCACAGTCATCTCGGCGTAATTGCGTGAATACTTATGCAAATACGCCGCTAGCCCAAGGAATTTTCGAAGACCTTTGACATCGACCGGCACAGGCCAGTCGGTGATCGCCTTGATCTTTTCGGGATCAGGACGTACACCGTTCTTACCAACGATGCACCCAAGAAGTGGTATTTCGCTTGCTGCAAATATACACTTCTTGAGGTTTGCATACAATTGATGCTTTCGCATGATTGTAAGAACTTGTCGGACGTGGTACCTGTGAACCTCAACGTCCGACTTTCCATCCATAGCTCGACTATGGATGAATACGTCATCGAAATAACTCGGCGCGAACTCTCGTACTGGTCTCAACAGATGTGATACACATCTGTTGAACGTGGCAGGGGCATTACTGAGCCCTTGTGGCATTACTAGCCATTCCCAGAGCATGCCGCTAGGCGTGCTAACTGCGGTATAGGGTATATCCCGTTCCCGCATTAGGATTTGAT